CTCGTTAGTCCAGCTGTTAATGAGAAGTTAACACAACCACACGGTGACATAAGAGGTGTACCCTCCACTGAGAGGAGGCTCATCCCCAGGCCTCTCTCTGGGTCTCTGCTGATGTGACACAGTCTGGGTCTGGACCAGCGGTCCCCTTTGGAGACCTGGGCCAGAGTCTTCAGGTCCACACCTGAAGACACAGCCTGGAGAGTGGGACAGAGTCAGAGGAGCAGCTTCATGCAGTAATATTAATGATATAATATAATATAACTGAATCCTTCTCCCAGATCCCTCTGCACTGATGTCACATCAGCCTCAGTGCGTGTCACATAAAATAAGTACCAGGTAAAACCAGTATCTTATACAGTAATGTTGTACTTTAATGTAACCTCTCACTGCTAGCTTAGCTTCTGGGGCTAACTGTAGCTACATATTAGCCCTGTGCACTTAGCATAGCATCTGTAGCCTACTGGACAAAATTCAACCTCTAAAACTAATTATGGGCATTCATAATTATCATGAATGTGATCAGTGTACCTGCAGGGTGATGCTGTTACTATGTTTACATGTCAGTAAGAATCAATACAGATCAATAATCAGCGGGAACACACCTGTTCATACTCGGCTCTCCTCAGCACCAGGAGGAAGAGGTGTAAACCACACGACTGGATCTTCCTCACTACCTACAGGTAAACACAGGTGACTCAGTTTATATACCTGTTCCATCAGTTATAACTCATGACCTGTTCATGTCATATGTCATGATGTTCACAGTGATCATGTGACACCACAGTGAAACTTGAAATTACGATAATTCTGACAGCCCCTGAATGCAGCGTTAGAATCAAAGTAGAGACTGGAATGATTCAGAGAAGAAGAGAAACACGAGGAGAACAGGACTTCATGAAGTGACTGTGAGCTGACCTCCAGATATTCATGTTCACAGAGGACAGATAGGAAGCCTGATGAAAGGTCAGAGGTCACCAGTGTCAATACAATTGATCCAGTGGGTACAGGAGGTTCTTACAACCCCAGGTTATCTGACACTGACCCTGAAGAAGTCCATGTTGCCCACATAGTCCTCGTTGACCTCCAGGACCCGGTCTCCATCTCGGAGCCCGCTGTGCTCTGCAGGACTCCACGGCTCCACATCCCCGATCTCGAAGCTCCGGCTGCTCTGATCCATCCGCAGGTAGAATCCAAAGCTCTGTCCCTCCAGACGCTTCAGCTGGCACAGTCTGGGAACCACGGCCTGATCCGGCTCTGCACACAGGTTCAGGTACAGGTCGTTAGCACCAAGTGGGGTGGGGGGATTTAAGAGAGAAGCTTTGACAGGTTTGAATGTGAAGTGATGAAGTGAAACGTCACCAGGATCATCAGTGATGACCAGAGCTGGATTATCAATCCCCTCCTTTGGATTAAAGGTGAAACTGAGGCGAGAAGGACAGAGTCAGTGACATCATCATCATCATAATCATCATCATCATCACCATCACTCTTTAACACACAGTGAGCTGAACTGTTTCTACATTAATGTGGTTCACACTCATTTGACTGTGTCATGGTCCAGCAGCTGGATCAGAGGTTTCTAGTGTATGTTGAACATCTCACTCTCTGATACTGTTGATCATGAGAACTGTAACAAAAACTTCTGAGTCATGAGCTCCAGCTCAGTTTATTAAAGTCTCTCTCTGACTGTAACTGTAACAGACGTGACTTGAAGACAGTGAACATCATAAACTTCATTAACATCATGTCTGCTGAGGAGACAAACAGCTCTGAGATAAAACGTCAGTGGTCAAGGTGAAGTATCTGTTATCAGCTCAGATAAGACGTTTTTATCATTAAAGTCATTAAAGTCCTGATGTCAGAGAGCGCAGTGAACAGTCATCATTGAATTACAGTTACACAGAACTACAGTTGTATAGAACTACAGTCCACATACAACTACAGTTACATAGAACTATGATTATGTAGAAATGCAGTTTTTATAGAACTAATGTTATACAGAACTACACAAAGGCGTAGATTTGGTCTCAACATTGGTAGGGACGTAACAACCCTTGCCATCAACCTAACAGTTTATTAACATATAAGAATTTACATTCAGGAATGCCCATACACAAATGTAATATATCATGTGTTGAATTTCCATATATGAAATATATGTACATATGAAGGAAATCACACATGTATTGAAAGTACAGCCTATATATGTAAAGATTACATTTAAAGCCTGTTGTGAAATTGTAACATTATAATATACTGACATGTACTTTAGTGTTTAATGTCAGTTTATATTATAATCATGTTACATGAATATATATTCATCCCATAGTCTGTCAGCATATGTTCATTGTATATGTATACAAAAGGTAGATAAGTATGTTTAAAATGAATGAGAATTTATGAAGAAAATCATATGCAAACATATACAATTTTAATAGGAATATTGTTTTAATAAAATTGCATTTTACTGAGTATTTCTTATATGTTATAAAATTATATCTTCATATATCCAGAGGATATATACATGTCATAGTTATATATTGTCTTTTAGGTGACACATATGGTAACATCACTCTTGATATATGGACATATATTTCATATATATGTCATAAGTCATAGAAGTAAGGCATGAAAACATGAAAAATGTCATAGTATATCAAGGTATAAAAATATCAATTAACCTATTATGCATGTCTTTGGACTTGTGGGCGGTTGCTGGAGTACCCAGAGAGAACCCACGCAGCTACAGGGAGAACATGCAAACTTCACACGGATAGGCCCTGGGTGCAAAATCAAACCCACAACCTTCAATCTGAGAGTCAGCAGTTCTAAACACTACACTATCATGCCGTCCCTTTTGTAGATCATTGTGTATAAGGCATAAGAAAGTCATAGTATAGTAAGGCATAAAAACAACTAAAAACATCATGGTATACTGAGGAATGAAACGTCAAAAAACACCATAGTATATTAAAGCATTAACATAAGGTATAAAAACGTAAAAAAATATACTTTAGTGAGGCATAAAACCTTCGTCAATGTTAAATTATAGTTAAGCATAAGACGTCAAAAACATCATATTATAATAGTGATGAATGAAAAAATCTTATGAAGAGTCATAGTATAGTAAGTCAAAAATGTAAAAAAAAACCGTCTCAGCATAGTAAGGCATAAAAATGTCTAAAAACATCACAATACAGTAAGCTATAAAAATGTGAAAAAATGTCTTAGTTTAGTAAGGTATAAAATTGTCATGAAAAACATCATAGCATAATAAGGCATAAAATGTCATAGTACAGAAAGTAAAATATGTCATAAAATGTCATAGTATAGTAAGGCACAAAAAATCATCCTATAGTTCATAAAATGTCAAAAACCCCATCATACTATCATAAGTCATGTCATAAAAGGGGAGTCACGTGATGATGGCTGGCTAGAGGTCATGTTCGCACTGAGCTCCCGCTCCCACTCGTTTTTAATCACACTTAATACAGGTGCTGTTCTCACTTTGGCCTGTTATATTGATTAAGTGGCATAAGAATCAACAAGTGATGTCGAAACAGACGAAAATCAACTCATGTAAAAAAATGACAACTGCCTATGCTAGCCAAACAACAAACTCGCCACCATTGGGTGGAGCCCCTGCCCGCGGTGAACACCGCAGCTCTGACTGAGGGGAGGTGACTCAAAAGTTCAGCGACATAGTGGAAGAGAAACTCTCCAAATTCACAGAGACTTTGGAAAAAATATCCACGACCCTGGAAAGCCAGTCAAAACGCATTACTGAGGCAGAGTGGAAAATCTTGGATGTAGAGGATGTGGTGACCGGGCTGGAGGGGAGAGTTACTGGAGCAAAGGAAAAATGTAAGGTAGTGGCTGCCAACATGGATGATATGGAGAACCGGAGCAGACAGGATAACATGCGTATTCTCAGTATGGAAGAACACAGAGGGAAAACGCCCAATCCACTTTTTCTAAACCTGGCTGCCCACTGTTTATGCGCCCAATACTTTTGACGGCTCATTTTATTCTAAGTTGTTTGCTGATATTTCCTCAATCTGCCTGCCTTATGTAATACTTGGAGGGGATTTTAACTGCGGTCTTGCTCCTGACATGGATTATAATCCAACTAAAATCCAACCTCTCTCAAAAATGGCAAGAGCAACAATGGAGCTCTGCTCAGACCTTGGCCTATTTGACATATGGAGAATCACTAATCCATGAGAGAAGGATTTTACATTTTTCTCACGTCCCCATCATTCTTTTTCTAGAATTGATTATATGTTTGTTTTTAGATCAATCTTTGACAGGTCTGGAACCTGTGTTCTGTCAGACCATTCATCAGTCTCGATAGAACTACTGCCACCTTACTATGAGACTTTATCTAGACATTGGCATTTAAACCCATTTCTTCTTAGTGACTGCATTTTTGACATATTTAGTAAATCAATGGAAGCTTTTTATTTCCACAAACAGAGGGTACATCATTTCTAACACAGCCGCAAAAAAAAAGAGTACTTTGGCAAAACAGTTAGCGCTTGAACACGACATTGGTACTTTGGAAAGAGACTTTAAAGCATCTTCTTCCACCTCTGTGTTAAATAAATTAGAAGCAGCCAGTCCTCTTTAGACCAGTTGCTAACTCAAAAATCAGAATCAGCAATATTTTATGCCAGGCACAGATTATTTGAATCCAGTAACAAACCCAGCCGGCTACTTGCTCTATCATTCATTTTGAAACCAAAATTATTAGTAAAATAATGAAAGAGTTCTACCAAGAATTGTATTCATCTGAGTGTCAAAATACATTGATTCTAAGAAAAAGTAAATCTAAGAAAAATAATTAATCTCCCTGCTTTGTCTGCAGAAAACAGAGAAGATCTGTGTAGGCCGATCACCAGGAAGTCCTGCAGACCATTATATCTTTTTCATGTTCTGAATAGGTTTGGTTTGTGTTCCTGTTTTGTTGAGTGGGTTAAAGTACTGTACAGATCTCCAACTGCGAGGGTCTTAGTAAATGGTTCAGTGTCAGATATTTTCCCTTTGAGTAGAGGTACATGTCAGGGCTGCCCCCTCTCCCCATAATTATTTGCACTCGTGCTCGAGCCACTTGCAGAGGCTATTAGGACCTACCGAGGGCTCTCCGATGTCAAGTTACGAGACATTGAATACAGAGTCTTGCTTTATGTTGACGATGTATTACTGTTTATTACCAACCCTGAGAATTCCATCCCTACTTTACTATCGCTCATCAATCAATTTGGCCTGATTTCAGGTTATAACTATAACAAATCAGAGGCCTTGCCATTGGGTGACTTTTAGGACTGAGTAACTCCTGTCAATTTTCCTTTCAAGTGGTCAACCTCAGGTTTTACTTATCTGGGCATTAGAATTTCAGATGATATTAAAGAGCTGTTTAAACTACATTTCAAAGCAACTTTAGCATCAGTCAAAAATGACCTTGACCTTAACAGGTGGTTTGATCTCCCACTGTCTTGGATGGGCAGAATAAGTTTGATTGAGATGAATATAGTTCCCAGGACATTATACCCTATGCAAATGCTGCCACTTAAGATCAATAACAGAGTCATTTTAGATAATGAAGGGTTTCTGTCCAAATTCATATGGCATGGAAAGAAATCTAGATTAAAGATGAAGACTTTACAATTGCCAATAGACAGGGGGGGTCAAGCAATTTTCTTTATTACAACTGTTCTTGCCATGCCTGAATAATATCAAGTTGGCTTAAATATTTTCTACATCAAGGGGAGCTGCCTGTGGATGTATGGTGCTGTGCCCCTCTCTCCCTTTTCAGCCTTATTTCGTGTGATATCACTAAACATACTGGCCACAGAGATTTTTCATCAGGGCTACAACCTTAAATTAAGAACAGAGCTTTCCCTCCAGGCATAGGAATGAGTATTTTGATGACTGGTATTCAAAGGAATTAAGATTTGTTTCTGATTTATTTGTAGATGGTAACTTCATGTCATTTACGTAAATTCAGAATACGCACAAAATACCACATAACCACTTTTTTGGTTTTCTCCAAGTGAGGCATTTTGTAAAATCATACCTTTCAATGATCAACCAATTTTAAGTCCTGTTGAAAGCTTCTTAATTTTAATCTAACTGCCTTTAATGACAAAAAAATTAATTTCCCCCTTTTATGGAAAACTAAACTCTTGTAATTATGTTAATGCTGATAGAACTAGGGAGCTATGGGAAAAGGACTTGGAGTTTGAACTAAATGGAGAAGCGTGGTCAGATGCTTTTACAACTCCGAGAGAGTCAATATAGAATTTTACACAGAGTGCAGCGCACTCCTCACTTTCTACATGAAATTAATCCCCAGATCTCCCCCTTTGTGTGAAGTGTAAAAAAGAAGTAGGAACCTACTACCATTGTATATGGCAATGTCCATTAATCTCCAGATATTGGAAAAATGTCTCTAAGGAGCTTAGCTCTATTTTCCACAAAACAGTTACATTAGACCCAGTATTTTTTCCTCTGAGTATCCCTATGGGACAGCTCTCTTTATCCCCTGGACAGCTGACTTTAATGTGTTAACTTCTGCTTCTAGCGAGGTGATGTATTCTGTTCCAGTGGATTCAGGAGAAGCCTCCCTCAGTTACACAACGGTACAGAGAAACATTTAAGGTTTTTCCTATGGAACATATCAGTGCTATTTTAAAAGGTAACAGTAGTGTCTTTAATAATATATGGCAGCCCCTTCTTGATTATCTTCCCAGTGATCTCGTTGATCTGTTGCCCGCACCTTGTCTTCACAAATAAGTCATAGGCTGTTAAATTTCTTCCTTTGACATGACCCTAATGCAAACAATAATGTATATGATCCAGATGTGTGTTCATGTAACCCATGGACATTATTATTCCTTTGTAATTTGGCAAGATCTGTGCTGTTTTTGTTTGTTTGTTTGTCTTGTTAATGCAAAATTCAATAAAATATAATTAATGTCATAAAAAGTCATAGTATAGTAAGGCATAAAAACATCAAAAAACGTTATCGTATAGGAAGGTATAAAACCTCATATTATAGTAAGGGATAAAAATGCCAAAAAACCTTATAATGTAGTAAGGCATAAAACAGGCATAGTATAGTAAGGCATTAGAGACGCCAATAAACCTAATGTGCATGTCTTTGGACTGCGGGAGGAAGCTGGAGTACTTGGGGAAAACCCCCGCTGGCACAGGGAGGACATGCAAACTCAACATAGAAAGGCCCCCAGACCTTTTAATTGTGAGGTGACAGTTCTAACCACTACACCACAGTGACGCCTCAAAAACAAATCATCTATGTCAAGTCATAAAACGTCATAGTATTCATTTTTCGACAGAAATTAAACTCATAGTTGATACTGATATTTCTACCATTTCAAGTTTAGTCCTGCTAGCAACCTGACTGCTAACCTACAGAATCAGAGACTAGTTAACACTAGTTCACATGGTTAAATAACATCAGTTGACATTTTTCTAGTGACATTAGCTACCACTGTGATATTCTCACATGAAGTGAGCCTTCACATAGCCCCCGCCCTCTCAGCCAATCAAATGCCTAAATTGGTTGTCTTGGAGACATAGCCTCTTGGAGGGCACATTGGCATGATGTAATATGACTGGTCTGAACTACAAGTATGGTTCTGTAAGAAATGTGTTTGGTTGTAATTAAGACTGAAGCTGAACTCACCGTGGGAAGTCCATGGCATCGTGACAGTCTGTGGACACAACAGAGACACAGTGAGACAGTTGAACCTCCCCACTCTGTCAAACATGACACAGACACACTCAGGTGATTCCCACACCTTTATTCAAATGTGTGACTTTACATTTATAATAACAGAAGTGCTTTAACCCAGACCTGCTCTGACTGCAGGCAGAGAGGCGGTTCCATTCTGAGCAGCTCAGTCGTTCATTAACAACAGCTCCACATTTTTCCTTTTGACACCAAGAATCACTAAACCAACAGTCTGGGCCAGGTCAGTCCACCCACATCTACACTGAAACCTCAGACCACAGAGACTGAACTGGGGCCCACCATCCAGGTCCTGTACCTGGTACTGTATACTAGTATATTTAGTGTTTACCCTTTTTAATATTAATACATAAATAAATATATGTATATATATATACAGTATATAATGGACAAAAACATGACATAAATAACCAGCAGACAAACTTAACACACTAAGTCACACTAAAATAAAACAAATAACTATATCTATATTTTCATCCGTCTGTTATTGATAGGAATGTTTCCTTCTGAATTTAGTATAAAATACAAACTAGGATGAAACAGAAACACTGATAGAAATACTCTAAAGTAACTAAAATATTTAGTTAAAGGAAAAGATGCAGACAGTGTTAGTTCATCATCACAGAAATATATATATATATATATATATATATACAGTATATAGCCTAATCAGGCTGTCCCTGTTTCTAATCCTGATCTGAGCTGCAGCCCAGCCTCAGCTCTGATTCCTGTCATTGTTACATTTCCTGGAGGAATCAGACAAACAGCTTCTCAAAACACTCTTCACCATCAGTGATGAAATGAGCTGCAGGCTGTTTACTCTGTGACAGTCTCTGGATCACATCGTGTTCAACCAGGAAGAAAACAGGACGACTCCACTCAGGTGAAGTAGCATCTGCACAACAGACCAGACACCGGAAACTATCCAATGTGCTAAGCTAACAGTCACCTACCTCCACAGCCAACAAGACATTTTTACAGGTGACTTCTGTCAACACTAGGCAGCATGGGAGGTTACATTTGATTAGTCAAAACATGGAAAGTCATGTGTTTGTGAAGCAGGAAGTGAAGGAGCCTACCTGTGGACGAGCTCATGGAGTCCTGAGTGTGTGTTCCTGCTCAGACTGAGACACCGGACGGACAAGGTCCACAGCAACCAGACCATAAAGAGTCCGTCAGCAGGTGAGACGCTCAGTCCTCTGCAGCACCTGGTTAAACATTCACTCACTGCTGAGGCTAAGCTGAGGGGAAGACACACTGTGACACCGTAGTGAAGGTTTAGTGATGGTGTAGTCCTCTCCTCTGATTGGCTGACTGTTTTCTGAGTGATCCAATAAAAATTTAGCAGATTTCAGGTGAAAACACTCAGAGAAACCAAATCCTGCAAGGTTTGGATGGTGGGTCCAGGTGGGCGGGGCTTGGTGACTGCTTTGTTGTGACATCACAAAGTTCCAGAAGTCCTGACGGCTGGTTTTAAGGCTCAGTTTCTGAATACAGGCTGTGTGCATTTCTCTGTGGACTGAGGCTTTGATACTTTCACAGTATTAATATAGAAGCTAGAGCTGATCTATAATCACACTACACATGGACACAGACCTTTACACTGGAGGAGCTTTATCATGTGTTTGTGTCTGAGAGAGTGACGCTGCTCAGTGTGACGCTGTCTGTAGTTTATTTGACATGAACTGATTTACATGTGACACATGCTTTCATAACCTGAGAGCAGAGACCCTGATCTGCATCATCATGTGGTTTGATCATAATCTGCTCTGTATCAAATCATTTTAATGGAAGTAAAGTTTAGGCGAGATTCCTGTGTTTGGAGCAAAATAAAAGTTTGTCTGTCCTGTAGAGGAAGTTTCAACAGGATCAGACACATCTGAAGTTCCTCTGCTCTTTCTCCTTTTTTATTTGATTCACCTGATTTTAAAACAGCAGCTGCTCCAGGTGTCATCTGAACATCAGTCATCTCACTGCATACAAAGATCCACATGTGGTCTCTGGTTCAGTCTGGATCCACTTCAGGACTCACTGTCGTCACCGTGCCATCAGCTCTCCCACCTCATGTGTGAAATAACAGCAGGTCACCAGAAGGGGGCGCTCATCCTACAGGTGTCATATTAACTGCACTACACATAAGTGACAGCTGTAGTTATTTAACCTAAAACTACATATATAAAATACATAACAGATTAAACCACGGGTTCTTATGTATCTTTGAGATGAGACAGAATCTTCTGATTTGATTTGATTTTCCATTTCAACAGTAAATAAAAACCTTGATTTTAATTTTTGTATCTCAAAATTAAAATCAAATTACCATCATTTAAAACCTGTTTCTGAAAATCAAACTTACTGAACTGTTCATCCTGACGATACGAGAATGTGTTGAATCTCTACTGTGTGTTTACTGTCTCCGTCCTGGTCTAAGGACCTGACTTGTGTCCTGACTCTGGTCCAGTTCTCATCTGTTTGTCCAGAACCTGGTTTAAGAGCAAACAAGCTTCAACACATTAACTCATAAAACTGTTATTTATCATTCCACCTTCAACAAAGTGAATGAACAGTTAGTTATTAAATGAGGTTTTTAAAATCTAAATGTATTTAATCATTGTGATTAAAGTTTCTATATCACAATATAATGGTTCACCATGATCACAGCACAGACGCTGCTGCTCATCATGATGCTTATGATGTAAATCAACATGTAACTGTCTGTTTCCACAGTTTCACCCTGAACAGAACAAACATTTATCATTAGACATGTTTCACTTTCACGTTTTTCTTCTAAATCACTTTGAGTCAAAGCTCCCAGCTGTTTTCTGCCTCACGTCGACTAACAACAGTAACAAGGTCAGACAGAGACAGACACTTAAACACAGGAAACATTTAATTAATTCAAATGAACCAACAATGTTTTAAAAGTTCATCACATATTTTATTAATATGATATTGCATAGATGAGGAAGTATTAGAGAGGCACTGATACTGTTCTGATAATCTGTCAATATAATAAATCGTGTCTGATGCTCAGTCACTGGGTGATAAGACATGTTTCACAGGGGTCAAAGGTCGACTGCTGTGTCACATTAACATGTATTTATAATGACGCACATGCAGGAAGTGATGAGTTGGTATGATGCTGTTAGAGCCACAGACTGTCAGATCTGAACATCCCATAATAACAAACCATGACTGCAGCTCAGGTGTGACCTCAGTGTTCACCTGCTCAACAGTCAGCTGACATCAAACATGAGCTCGTCTTCATCTTCATCAGTCAGAGCAGGAGTGAAGAGGAGGATCAGTCTGATAATTACCAATCAATACAATGATACACTTTAAATACTATTATTAATGGATCAAAATGTAACAACAGACGTATTAATGCAAACATTTAATTATCATTTCTATTTATGATTTCACCTTCAACAAACTGAATTAATACATTAATTACATTTACCTTTTTAAATATAAACGTGTTCAATTATTATTATTATTATTATTGTTATCATTATTATTACCTCCTCTGTTATCACCTGTCTGTCTGTCTGTCTGCCTGTCTGTCTGCCTGTCTGTTTGTCCTTTAGTTCTGAACAGACTTGCACCAGACTTGGGGGAGGGCTGGGTGCTGGGGGAGGGCCGGGTGCTGAGGGAGGGCCGGGTGCTGGGGGAGGGCCGGGTGCTGGGGGGAGGGATCAGTTTACTGTAAAGGATCCAGGAAGTTTTTCTTTTTGTTTTTTTTTTTAAATCACATCTCAACTTTGTTAAATAAAAGATTTTTAAAACATTACAACATTTTCATTAACTTCTCAGGACAAAAGTTTGATGCAAAAAATGAGACTCATGTTTGAGTCTGTACAGTTTGGTCAGATCCAGACTCCACAGCAGAGACTGATGAGACCGGACTCTGGCTCCACCTTGGTCTCTGCTGCTCCTGCAGAGACCTCAGAGCAGGTTTCTGTTCTACAGATCTCTTGAAGGCAGCATTCACTAACACACGAAAGTTTCGTCACAGTCACTGGCTGCAGGAAGTCTTACTCAGCCTGTGGCTCCAGTCTGAGGACAGGACTCAGGTCACGTGACTTAGGTCATGTGACCCTGCTGTCTCACAGAGAGGAGAGGTCTGGTCACATCATGTCAATGGAATCACAGCCAGATATTTTCACATCTGTTCAGAGAGAATGAAGCTTCTCCACTGACCAATAGGAGACGAGCTGAAAGGTCTGACCTGAGCTACGGAGAGCAGGAGAGGACAAACCAGAGGAAGCTGTCAGAGCCTCAGCTGTGTGTGGTTCTGTCTGTGACCTTCACCACCTGAGGGTCTGACAGAGAGCCAGAGTCCTGTTGCATTATGGGAATCGTAGGTTTCAGTGTTTTTGAGACTCACTCATACAGAGACTCAACGTTCAGTTTTTTTTAGAGGAAGTGAAACTGGTTCATAAACAGATCCTGTAACTTTGATCCATCATTTCACAAAGTGCTTTTCACATTAAAGACTCTCAAAGCATGCTGGGAAAATCTTCTGACTCACAGTAACATTTTTATGTCTTACTCTTCCTTAGAAACCTCTGTATAATATCATTTAACAGGAATTGATTAGGATTATTTAAACACTGTTGTGTTTTTTCTTTCTGGTGTTTACCAGCTAATGAATATGGATGTACTTCCTATTGTTGTTTGTTTTATTTTATCTTGTTGATTTATTTGGTTCATCCACATTAGACACATTTTCACTTTGTCAACTGATTATTGATCCACATGTGGAGCACCACCCCCGCTCCAGAGGTCAATCACAGTGGGTGTGGTTGTTCTTGTTTGAATGAGGTCACGATGTCATCAGTGAGGCAGTGTCTTGTGGGTTCAGACTGTCTCAAACCTGAAATGCTGCTGGACTTGTTGAGCTCCGTGTTGATCCATCACATCCTGTATCCTGTGGGTGGAGTAGGAGGGTCCTTCTCCAGCAGCTCCAGAGTCTGTCGGACTCCCTTCTCCACCCGGCGGAAGTGCAGCCTCTTCCAGAGACTCTGCTGCTGCTGACGGCCCCACTCCAGGTCCCTGAGGAAGACCTGCACACAGGGGGGGCAGGATCAGACTGGGTCAGACTGGGTCAGAGTGGACCTCATGTTCATACAAGTCAGATTCACCAGACTCACAACAACTATGGACGGAAACTGGAGCTGATGTCTGTGACCGAACTGTAAGAAATCGCCTACAGGAAGTGGGATTTACGTTCAGAAAAGCCAAACGAAAGCCATCATTAACACCTAAACAGAAAAGAACGAGGTTACAGGGGGCTAAAGAAAAGCATTCATGGACTGTGGATGACTGGATGAAAGTGATATTCAGTGATGATGATGCTGGAACTTTTGTTTGGTGCCGTTCCAGTGAAATTTATGAAGACGACTGCCTGAAGAAAACATGCAAATTTCCACAGTCATTGATGATATGGGGCTGAACGTAGGTAAAGGCCCGGGGGAGATGGCAGTCATTACAGCTTCAATAAATGCACAAGTTTACATTGAAATTTTGGACACTTTTCTTAATCAATCAATTGAAAGGATGTTTGGTGATGATGACATCATTTTTCAAGATGATAATGCATCTTGCAAGAGGGCAAAAGACTTTCCTTCAAGAAAGACATATAATGTCAATGGCATGGCCTGCAAATAGTCCGGATCTCAATCCAATTGAAAATCTATGGTGGAAATTGAAGAAAATGGTCCATGACAAGGCTCCAACCTGCAAAGCTGATCTGGTAACAGCAATAAGAGACAGTTGGAGCCAGATTGATGAAGAATACTGTTTGTCAATAGTTAAGTCCATGCCTCAGAGAATTCAAGCTGTTATAAAAGCCAGAGGTGGTGCAACAAAGTACTAATGGTGTAGTGTTTCTCTCATGATTCCATAATATTTTCCTCAGAATTGAGCGATTCCATATTTTTTTCCTCTGCTTGATCTAAAAAAGCAGACTACACTTGTCTTTCTTTCTTTTTTTATTGTTTCTTAAAGCCAGATGGTTGGTATTTTGAATAATGATAGCTTTGTGGCATGTCTGATTAGTTTTCCTTCTACAAAATTAAACAATTGAATGAACATCCTCCAAGAGTGGTGATTCCATCATTTTTGCCAGGGTTGTACGAAGCAGGATCTGAGGTTAACCAGGTAACTTCAGGTTTAACTCTGGGTTTTTAGTCCACTCCTCTTTTCTTCCTCTCCTCTCCTCTTTCTCTCCTCTCTGCAGCAGAAACAGTCTGACATTAACTTTAACTGTTTTCTCTGCAACATGTTCATAACAGTTTGTTCATCATCAGACTGAAGAGCGAAAATACTCAAATATGATGATAATTCATGCACTTATTTACATTATATCTTTAGTCTGATGTAACCGGGGTGAAAATTATTCTATTATCAAAGTTCGTTATTTGACGGTTATTTTATTTTATTTTGAAAGGCCGTCGGGTTCTGTCGGTAACTTCCGGTTACTTAGGGTTGCGTCGTCACGCCGCAGGCCGCGGCTGTCCAATCGCGTCGCTCGTGGCGCCTGTTACAAACTGTCCGCTCTGTCTCTCATTCTGAAGGTGAGGGGAGGCACGCGGAGCAGCTGCTACAGGTCGGTCGCTACAAACAATTGCAGTTGTTACTCGTAGATTCTTGTTTATATCATCCTAAATGCTTTCGTTACATCATTCAACTGTTTTAGACGTCAACCAGCGCCGAGGACGGATAAGTGGTCGCGTGGTGCGTCGGATATATTCCGGAATTGGTGAGACTGACTGTTGTGATCGTTAGCATTTGCATTTGTCAATGTATTGGTGTGGATTAGCTACGGCACACCTAGCTTCTTTTTTATGCTAATGCTTGCAGTTGACAATAACGATGATGTAACGAGTAATGTGCCATTGCAGCGCAATTATAGAATGTTTATTTTGATTTATACGAATGGGGGGAAAATTCGTTATGATTATGTGTGATTGAATTGATGTCTTCTGATTAATCTAGTCATAACATAACCCGCGCACTGGTTACACTGACTTGAACAGAAATTATATTTAGACATGGAAATACTATTTTTTTTATTCCAGTCGTGATCACATTGTCACATTTCACCTTGTTGAATGTCACTGTTGGAATTAACCAGCAGGTATCTGCGTTTCTTCTCATATTAAGAACTTCATTCATGGTTCTGATGATGTTGCTTATAATGAACAACATGATGCTGGTGATGATGGTTCTGATACCTTCAGCTGTTGCTGGACTCGTTGGCGGTCCCAGGACAAGGCGTTCTCTCGGATCACTCTGAGGATGGGGTGCCAGTCCTCAGACAGGTCTGAGCCTTCAGTGACTGAAGCCAGGACCTTGACCCGCCGGCCGCTTCCGCTGTCACTGCTGGGAACGCCACGGACGTACAGAGACTGTTTCCCCACGTCACTGAGAGGGTTCAGATACAAGCTGCACAAAGACACACACGCTGGATCAACACACATACACACTGGACACACACATCATCAGTTCTCTGACTGAGTCTTCCTCCCTCCAACAGAGACAGTTCATTTTACTGTTGTGTACTGTCTGAGGTCTTCAGACCTGTGTTGGTCTGGTCTCAGGAACAAACCTCCAGATCGAGGTTTGTGAATTCAGTCTGAATCTGCTTCTATTCTTCTATTTTATATATTGTTTTTATGTCACTGTTTGTGTCTCTGTTACACTGCACTGAAGCCCCTCCCACTGCACTGAAACCCTCCCTCTGCACTGAAGCCCCTCCCACTGCACTGAAACCCTCCCTCTGCACAGAAACCCCTCCCATTGCACTGAAGCCCCTCCCTCTGCACTCAGAGCACTAAGGGCCCGATTTACTAAAGCTTTGCGTGCGCAAACGCGACAGCACGCGCAAACACATGTTGATGCTGATCTACCAACCGGCGCACAGAGGATTGCGTCTGTCAGTCGGGCAAAATAACACGCGCTATCCATTTTGCGCTTCTGCCTTCATGAATATGCAATATAGGCGTGCCTGCCAGAACGCGCAAAATATTGGGAGGAGTAGATGCAAATAGAATCATTTTGCGCACGCAATGTGATTTACCAAACCTCAAACTAATTGCGCTGATTATTTTTGCGAATATATTTAGCACGTTTGAGAGTCAAGTCTTAGGCTACCTGGCACAGCTGTGCGCACAGATGGCTGTGGTCATTGTTGCAAGGAGGCAGCGTAGGCACGACAGGCAACGGAGAGAACGCATCTTTTCTGTTCGTGTCACTCTTTTTGGAATGGCAGAAGAAAAAATAATCGAGACATATCGGTTATCCGACGATGCCATGATTGTCCTTTGAAAAAGAAAAAAACAAAAAAGTCATTCGTTCAGAGTTCAGAAAATCCTTAAATAATAAATGTTGCATCATAATGTCAAGTGTTTCTTGTTTGTGCTATTTTGACAAAACCAAAAACTCACATTTTTATGTACTAAAACACACTTTCTTTTAGACATAGGAAACATTTAGTTCGGCCTAGTTCCTATCATTTATTCCTGAAACTTAAAACAAATGAAAACGCACACACTTCTGCGCCCCTGCTGGAACGCATAAACAAAAACGCTTTTGGCAATTACGCTTTTCCATTGCACAGCTAAAGAACGTTCATGACGCACGTTCATGTCTTATGTGGTGTACCTGAATGAATTAAAAATATTCCCAGTATCCCAGTAATCTGCTCATCACAGAACGTCAGCTGCACCTGCTGTTCAATGGGAGACAGAGGGTCCTCCCCGCCGGTCCTCCACCTGTTTTATTTGCCGATTTGTTATTCTGTGCGATTTTTTCCTTTGTTCTTCTACGAATGTCTTGCCACCTTTTCTTCATTTCATCCGGTGTTCTTTTGGTTTTCCCCACAGCATTAACCTTGTCACAGATTGCCTCCCATATTGCGTTCCTCCTAATAACGGTTAAATTCCTTTGCTATAACTCAGAAATGTGCTTGTTTGCCTCTTGTACCAGCACCTCCAATTCCGGTCCAATTGGATCTGCTCGTTTGAATTCGCCACGGTGAACACCCTTAACTCGCGCAAAATCCTCATTTAAATAGGGCCGGCTCGATCACTTTTGCGCCTGTAGTCAACTGCGCTGTTAATCTAAGTAAATCACTCGCAAGGCCCAAACAGGCAGCGCGCACAATCTATCCGTGTGCGCACGCAATTTAGCGCTCTTTATTTGGGATCTTAGTAAATCAGGCCCTAAGTGTCTGTGTGAATGAAGCTGCAGATGAAAGTCCGTCATTATGTGTTAGTGTGTTGTGTATATGAAGTGTGCTTCCTGTCCGTGATCATTACATGAACACAGTGTGTGTCTGTCACTGATCAGCTGTATGTTTTGTTGTGTTGTGGTGACGAGCTGCTCACTGCACAGTGTGGATGCTGGGATGTTCCCTGCAGGCATCCACCAGAGCCAGAGCGGCGTTGTCCCCAATGTTGTTATAGGCCACGTTGAGCTCCTGGAGCCCCGAGTGCTGCTGCAGCCTCTCAGCCAACTGCAGGGCCCCCAAGTCCCCCAGCCCGGTGTGCATCAGGGACAGGTGTCTCAGGGACTGGTTCTCTGGCAGGGCCTCCAGGAGGGTGCAGGCTCCAGACTCCAGCAGAGGGTTGTCACACAATCTGAGGACACAGTAGAAAAATGAGACAGTTCTGCTCTTCAACTGAGCACAACATGTGAGAGGTAACACTGACCAGGGGCCCGGTGGCACAAACAGACTGACTGTGGTGGAAGCTGACACAGAAGACTGAAGGATAGTGGACTCTGTGTTATGGATATGGGAGGTGAACAGTGAACTGAGAGCAGCACAATTAACAAATAGACTGCACTTCCTGCAGCAGCTTCACAATAAAAGACTTCCACTGGTTCACCAGGTGAACTCACGCTCCTCATCAGTCTGTGGACTCTGGGTCTAAAGTCTGCTGTGGCTCTGAGGAGCTGCAGGTTTTTACCCTGTAGGGATGGACTAATGGAAAAAACTGTCAGGTTGTTGTTTCGTGTGTTTCTTGTGTGATGATAAACCACTGGAGTTTGAAGCTCTTAATGTGAAGCTACAGCAGCAGGAAGTGACTCAGCTCCAGGAGAGAGATTAAAGTCTACACAGACTCGCAGGTCACTTAGTGAATCTGTTCATCAGATCAATGTGTTTGATAAAGGAGAAAACAAACAGTAAGTATTCACAACAGGAGAGGAGGAGGAGCTTATTGTATTGTTACCATGGAAACAGCTGTTAATTGTTCTGATTACTCTGCTGTTACTGACACAAGAAGAGCACATCTTTAGACATAACATTTATTAGTGAATATCTTTCCCTTGTTTACATTTAAAACACTCACTCACCTCAGAATCACCTGCGCAGCAAAGCTGGGTCAACAACTGAGGCCCCTCACCTGCGGGGGCCCCTCACCTGCGGGGCCCCAGACCTGGTGCTGCTGCTCTGATATAATGATGTACACTTGAAGGCCACAGGGAGAGTGGGAAGAGCCAGAGCTAAGGGGGGACCCACAGCTCATGTTTGCCCTGGGGCCCCATGGTGGGTTACTGCGGCCCAGCTGCACAGGCTCCAAGTTCAAAATAAAACTGTCCAAAGAGTCTCAGACTCAGTCTCAGATATTACTATATACTAATATGCTAATACGCTAATATACTAATATATTAATATACAAATATAAAATATGCTAATATACTAATGTGCTAATATATTCATACACAAATATGCTTATATGCTAATATTCTTATGTACTAATATACCAATATATTAATGTACAAACCCTGTAAGTAAAGACAGGACACCTCTGGAAACAGTGTAAACACAGAGACATGAAGGGGGTGTGGTCTTACTGTAGAGATCTGACAGAACTCTTAGGGTCTAGAAGCAGATCTCTCAGGAGGATGCAGGACTCAGGACCCAGGCTGTTAAACTGAAGACTGAGGACAGAGACAGACACAGAGACGACAATCACAACACACACTGCATTCACATGCAGAAGTAATGTTTAACTTTAATCTAATGTTTAACCCATTTAAAACAATATGGCTGCCCTCATGTTATAACATTATAACAAACTAACTGGTCTGTGGTCAGTGTCAGTCTGTTGCATTGGATCCTCCCACCTGGAGAACACCTGTCAGGTTAGTTTGACTTTCTTTGTTTATATTTCTTTCTTCCTATGTTTATTGTTATTGATATGCACCAACACACCAAGGCAAATTCCTTGTATGTTGTAAAACCTATTTGGCATTAAACCAGATTCTGATTCTGACTTTACTGTATCTCAGGACTTCAGGTTCACAGAGTTCAGTGATGCCTGCAGGGTGGGAGGAGCCACCTGAGTGGCTGGTGGGAGGAGCCACTGGACTGAGGGGAGGAGCCATCCGACTTGGACATCAGCATGTCTGATAGCGTCAGCTCATAACAGTCATATCACAGCAGTCTGATAAGAAATTCCACAGATAAGTGTGAGGTAAATTACCAACAGTGTATCCATGGTGACCAGCTCACACTCATTAACCACTGAACACATCACTGTTAAACCTCAGTCTCAGATCGGAGAAACCCATGTTTCTCCAATCTGAGACTTAGTCAGAAGATATGAATGAACAGGACCATGTCAGGACCACTTATAATCTATGTCACTGAACCACAATCACTCACTTAGCAGCAGTCTGCAGCTGTCACATCAACATCTGGATTCTGACCTTTGTGTATTGTTCACTATGGTTCAAAACACACTGGAACTATAATGTGAAGTAGAAATGTCTAACAACTGGAGCAGTATTAGTACAACATGAACAATGTTCAGCATCATGCAGAAACACATCTTTCCTTTCAGTCACTGTGTCTCACTTGAGGTTGTGTGTGTGTCTGAAGGCAGGCCACAGCGTCTGCAGCAGGTCGTGAGTCAGGAGACAGGACGACAGGTCCAGCTCCTCAAGGTGGTAACTACAGAGGACAGGGGACAGGTCTGAAGACATCTGCTGCAACATTAAACACACTAATGCATTTCAAATAGAGACACTGACCAACTCTAATCTAATCTGACCTAATCTGATTTGATAATATCATCTGTTAATATAATCTGAGTTGACAAACTCTAATATAATCTGATCTAATTTGATCTGACCAACTCTAATCTGATCTAATATAATCTGATCAGATTTAATCTAATCTGATTTGATCTAATCAGATCTAATCTGAATTGACCAACTCTAATCTGATTTGATCTAATCTGATCTGATATACAGTCTCATGTTAACAGCTGTTTGCGGCAGTTTAAAGTTATACTGACTTTTACTGACTCACAGCACAAATGCTAACATGCTGCTGGTTAGCATGTTTATCATCCATCCATCCATTTTCTACCGCTTATCCTCTAGTAGGGTCGCGGGGGGGGCTGGAGCCTATCCCAGCATCCTTTCGGGCAAGAGGCGGGTTACACCCTGGACATGTCGCCAGTCCATCACATGGCACACAGAGACAAACAACCATTCACTCTCACAGTCATACCTATGGTCAATTTGGAGTAACCAATCAGCCTAGTCCATGTTTATCATGTTCATCATCATAGTTAGCTTGTTAGCATGCTAACTATGAGGATCAGCACAAAACACAATGTAGGGCTGAGGCTGAGTTGGTCATAAACCAAAGTGATAATGAGGATGGTGCTTGATGAAGAGTCTCATCCAGCAGTAGAGTAACAGACAAACATAACAAACACATCATCTGTAAAATCTGACCCAGTGAACACTGGCTCTTCTGAGGTTGTTACAGCTTGATCCAGTTCACCGCAGACTTTTTGACTTTACCTTGTGGGGGTGCACGAGAGCACAGAACTCAGCACGAAGCATTTGAGTGACGTCATACGAATGTTGGTTAGGCGGATGGTTCTCATTGAGGCCAGAACCTCTGCAGTCAGTCTGGGGTTCTGAAACTCGTACAGAAGAACCAGCAGATCCATCACCTCCTCTGGTGGCTGTGGCTTACTGAGCTCTACAATAAATCAGAGAAAAGTATTATTCATGCAGCTTTCTGTCTGAAACAGAGTTAAAATACACCATGTTTAGATTTGGTTACAAGCAAATCAGGACTAACTACTAACTCGTATATTGGACATCATTCTGTCAAGGTAGCCATGTTTGATTAGGGATAGAGAAGACCAGACTGAGCAAGAACAGGAAACTGTCTGAGCATGTCCAGTCAATGTTCACTACACTTTAACACGGAAGTACTCAACTTCACAGTATAATAAAAACTAAAGACCATATATATATATAAAATACTAATAAATATTAAATACCACTTTAACCTGAGGTGAGTTCAACATGAGATCAAAGCATGCTGTATATAACCCTGAATGTTACCTCTGACCAGGTGCTTCCTGAGGGCACGTGTGATCTGGACCACAGTGGTGCTCTGAATACTGCAGCCAAGCTGCTGGAGAAGGACGCGGTTCCCATAATGCAGCAGTCCACCCATGAAGATGGGGTAGAGCTCAAAAGGCGGGCCTTCACTGTGCTGCTGTGGCTGAGGGCCGTGGACTCCCAGGAGGCTTTGCTCCACCTGATCCAGGACATCCTCGTTGTAGCTGTCCTCGGTGCGGAACATCTCCGTCGCCATGGTTCTGGCGATGCTGCCTTTGTTGTGGCTGCTGATTTTCTCATAGAGCTTTGGGAAAAGCTTGAGGAGGTTGAAGACGGCGAATATTCGAAGGGGGATAAATTTAGAGAGGATGCCGAAGAGGGCGTTGACGTCCTCGCCTGCCTGACCGATGGCCACAGACATCCGCTTGGAGAGCTTCTCCAGAGCTGATTTGTTCTCTCCAAGAACCACGTAGAGAGCCGCCAGGTACTCCTGCATGGCTGGGACAGCAAACACATACCGCTGCTCGTTGTTCTCACTGAGAGCTTCTGGAAAATGTTTCCCGCTTTCTACACAGGGAGCCAGGAAGAAGTCCAGCACGTCAGTCCGGAACATGGCCAACTGATGCAGCTCCTCATCCGTCTTGGTCTTCCCTCCGATCCACTGCTCCAGTTCCTTCTCTGAGAACGACGTTCGTTTGTACGTCACGCCCTCAAATGCCATTTTACCAACGGTACGGACGACATACAACATCAGAGAATTGTTGTGCCCCTGAATGGGCACATTAGTCCCTGCTCCTGTGCCCAGTACCTCGCCCCCGAAGTTGAGCCTGAGGAAACTGGTGTATATGCCGGTCAGTGTGCGGATGGGCGCCTTGGCGTCAGTGAAATGGAGGAAGTGTAAGGTAGCACAGGTCAGCCAGCAGTAGGAGGGCAGGAAGCAGGCTGCAGCCAGCTGGCTCTCTCTCTGGAGGTTGAGGTACAGCAGCTCTATAAGAGCCTGGGCCTCATGGTCACGAGCCGTCTCCCCACTCTGCTGCAGCAGGCGACTGGTGAAGTACGCCCGCTGGCGGCCTGGGTCATTGAAGCCACAAATCTGAGCGTAGCGACTCACATACTTCTGTGGGATACGGTCCATGGCTGACAGTCTGGTGGTGACCAAGATGCTGGCCTGAGAAACACAGAGACAACTTCTGCATCACATACATCTAAATCTACACACTTCAGAAACAGTAGACACCATGTTGTGATGAGATCACACTGTTACAGAGGCTGTGACTCCCGTTGACATGTTGACATTCAGACTCATGAGTACTCAGTGGTCATTACTACATCATCACTGCTAAGCTAGTTCAAAACACAGTGTGGTGGGGGTGAGGTAATAATGATGGTGGACTGTCCTCACCTCAGGTAGGAGGTACTTCCTCAGCAGGTTCACCACCACCACATTAGGAGGCAGCGCCTCATTCGGATCGCTGCAGAGCTCCGTGGATCCGATCCGGAAGTCTAGCTTCATCTTCTCCATCCCATTGAAGAGGAAGAGCACATCCTTAGCCTGGTTTCCCTCCCCGCTCAGCAGGGGGTGTTTTCTCAGGTGGAGGTACTTCCTGCTCACCAGGTCCCTTAAGGAAGCCACCCTGTGTGGGAGGGGGTTGTTACTTGGTGCTCTTTGTTACAAACTTAACAAACCCCCTGGGAGACCCTGCCCCTGATATTCAGCTTACTTATTATTATGATAAATCAGAATGTGTTGATTGGCTCTGGCTCACTGATGAGAGAGAAACCTCTTACTTTGACAGTTCACTGAGGTCCTCACAGGAGAAAGGCACCAGCAGCTTGAAGTGGGTCAGGCCGGTCCCAGTGCACCAGTCCAGCACCAGCTTTCGGACCACCGTACTTTTCCCTGTTCCCACAGCCCCATACAACAGCACGTTGACCCCCCGACCCTCGTTCCAGGTGTCTGTGGTTTCAAACAGCTGTTCCACAGACACCGAGGAGCTGGACAGGGGCTGGGTCTGGAGAGGGAGGCTGAGGAGTCCTGCCCTCTCCTCAGCTTTTCTTTCCACAATCAGTGGATCCACATGCATGGTCTCTGGGCTGAAGTAACCTCCAAACTGTTTCTCCTCCTGAGGAAGGTGGCTGAACCACAGGAACAGCTTCCTCCTGTGGACCTGGAGGGGGTCTGTGGTGAGAGAACAGAGGATTTACAGTGTGCGTATGCACCGAATCTTCCTGCCTCTGTTTGTATGTTGTTGTGTTTCATGTTGTTTGTCTGTTGTTGTTTGTGTGTCGTTATTGGTTTGTCGTTGTCTCTTCAGTCTGAGCTGAGTACCTGGCTCTGAGGAGGTGGAGCAGTAGGTCCTGAGGTGGAGGCCAGTGGCTGAGCAGAGGGAAACATCCACCCTCCTCCTCCAGCTCCATGCTGAGAGCAGCTGACTCAGCTGTCTGGAAACATCACACAGATGGGTTCGGTGAGCTCTGATCCTACAGGACATATGTTCACTGAAATGATCTGATCCCACAGTCAACAACTCATAATGCGGGTTATTCAAACTGATCTGAGATCTGCTTCATATGGTGGTTTAATTAGAGAGCAGCTGTTTGCAGGCTGCAGCATGTTTACTCACATACCTGACATTTAGACAAGCACGGACACCCTGTAACAGAACCAGGACTCACTGACACACACCAGGCTCCAGCTGCCCCAGGCCACTGACAGCCTCTTTGTATGGCAGTATGTGGACTGATGTGGTTTCTTTAGAACATAAAAGGGAAGCTCTTTAGTTCTGTAAAACCTGTTCCTGTACTGCTCTAACAGTCACTGTTTGTGGCGTAAAACTGTAGTCAGGCTCTTAGGCTCACCTGCTGACAGGTGTGTGAAGAGTTAAACTGTTCAGGTACAGAAGGACAACAGAAAGAGAGTCTGACATTTAGATTCAGAGACAAACATGTTTCTACAGCTCACAGAATACAAGTTAGACTCACAGCAGCTCAGGCACTGGGTCAGAGGAGGAAACTGTTGCTGCTGCACACGTTCATTCACTTAACATATATAACTTTATAATGATCTACAGGCAGAGTTGATCGGAGTTGATCAGAGTTTATCAGTTGATCGGTCTGCTGCACCTGCAGCAACACCCACAAGGTATGTCACATGACACTAGCAATACTCCATCACTGATCACTGATATTCAACGAACTCTGACCTGTTAGCACAAAATAACTCTGACCAACACAGTAACAGTCACACATCACTCAGAGTCACCTCCTCCCAACACTCCCATTAACTCCCACATGTCTGACTGGTTCATCCTCAGCTTCAGGATCTGACTCCAGGTCAGTCAGTGAAATCATCATTGTGACATCATCAGTAACACTGACCTGTGTAGTGAGCTCATCTTCTTCTGCCGCCTCGTCTGTCAGGGAGAGTCCTGTGAACGACAGTCCCACAGTTGCTACAGGAGGAACCTGAAGGCACCACGAGGAGTCTGAACACAACATGCAGCCCTGTTCTCAAGTTAGTGTGCATGTGTAAGAGCGTGCTGGTGTGTTAAAATACACACAGAACCTGGATTTAAACACAGAACCTGGACTTAAACACAGAACCTGGATTTAAACACAGAACCTGGACTTAAACACAGAACCTGGACTTAAACACGGATACTGGACTTAAACACAGAACCTGGACTTAAACACAGAACCTGGACTTAAACACGGATACTGGATTTAAACACAGAACCTGGATTTAAACACAGAACCTGGACTTGGACTCCACAGAATCACCTCAGTGGAAACGCACAGAACCAAACAGCGGTCAGTCAGAAACACTGGAGGACCTGCACTGCTCCTACGAGGGACGTACTGGCTGTTGGACTGAGTCCAGTGAGGAGGTCACCCGTCCCTCCACAGTCCGCCACAGTCCAGACCTACCCGAACCGGACAGAACGGCACCGGAGTCTAACAGTATCAGAATCTTACCGTGTGTCCCCGTGTCAGTGAGGTGGACTCACTGGTTTCACTGGTTCCTGGTCTCTCTACCTCTGCATGTCTCTGTGGTGGTGAATCCACTGGGTGACAATCTCCTTTGACACTCACCGTGTTCCGCTTCAGAGGCGGGAAACTCTGGTGAACTGTTTCAGAATAAGAGAATCTCTAGAGGCTGACTGACGGCATTTACTTTACAGAGCCGGTGATGGCGCGGGAAGATTCACGTACAGGTTAATATGACGTCTGAGGTGGTAATAGTGCCGATCTAATCAAAGTTAATGCAGAGAGCCAGCCGCGGGAAAACACCTGGCCCTATTACCAGTTTATTGATCGTGTACAGTTAAAGTATGTCGGCCAGATTACCACATAAGAATATATGTGAATGACGTGTAAATCTAGATCCTGTGCCAAAACAAACGTGTGTATCTGTTTTAATCATTATTAGTTAATTTCTAATCTATGTGGGTGCAATGTAATGGAGTTTAGATTCATAGCTTTTATTTTGAAGGCTTTATAGCCAAAACGGAAATGTTATTTTCAGGATGTCACGATACTGAAACCTGATTATTTTCAGAATAAAATGGTCGCCTCAATAATTGTATAAATTAACAGTGTAGAGGTCAAACTCATAGTCACAGAGTCATAGAGGAGACGAGAATAAGGTGGTCTGGTCCCCTCAGAGTCCTGATCTCAGCATCATGGAGTCAGTCCGGACCACATGAAGAGACAGAGACAACTTTGGTGGTCCCAGTGTCTCCCAGGGCTGACACACTCACCTGTGGACCGTGGAGGAAGCAGCAGGCTGATCTGCCTGTGCTTTTATCTGTGAATCTGTTTCATGTTCAGTGAAGGTGATTGTGTAGGGAGGTATTGCCACCTACTGGACAAAGTCAATCAAGACAACAGTTTATTTATCCTCTCGTTTTACAGAAGGATTTATAAAGTGAGACCCTGAGGATGAAGGTGGTCACAGATTTCCAACAAAAACCTAAGGGGTCCTGCTCAGACAGGAGAACACCTGGAGCCAGTTTCACAGAGATCGGTTACTGGTTCATAGATCAGCCTGATACTGTTTCACTAAAATTAACTCATTTTAAGACAGAAACATTAGACACCTCCAGACTAACTCAGGCCCAAGACCAATGTTACCATGGTAACAACCAATGACGCCTTCGCTGACCAGTAGCACCAAACAACAAGACACAGGAAAACATGACATAATATTTGATAATTTGTGGTTTGCTGACTTTGTTATGGAGAGAGCGAAGAGAAGTGAAAGAGTCTTTTTACAGACGGCAGCCATTTTTTTCCAAATCAGACTTTTCTTCGTATGGTTTCATTCACACTATCGTTCTTCAGACAAACGTGTTCTGCTGACGGTAAAAGGAGCTCAGCGGTTGGATACAGTGACTCGTTCGGCCATTTTTTATTTTATTTTGAAAAGCGTCTTAATTTACCTATAATTAATTGTACCACAGTCCGACTGCTTTGTACAACAGATGAATTCAGACTCAGTCTATCTGAAGCCTGACTGTCTTTATCTGAGAGTCAGAGTCTGTCTTTGTGAAACCGGATCCTGGTGAGCGAGGTAGAACTGACCCTCTTATTGTGAAACGGTGTGACCGGAAGCTTTGTCGTGTGTCAGCGGCGGCTGTCGGGCAGTTTGACTGTGGTCCTCTCAGCGGCTGTCAGGCTCCATTCCTCCTCACAGCCTCAGGGAGCAGCGTTCTACCCGCAGCATGGCATCAGAAGAGCTGGCTCGGAAGTTGCAGTCGCGGCTCGCCGCTACGCAGGAGGCAGAGTCGAGGCCGGAGGCCGAGGGGGGCTCGCTGAGACCCCAACCCCGGGAGCCCGAGGCCGCCTGCGGCGATTCGTCCTCCGAGCTGTCCGCGAAACTGACCCGCAGGCTGGACATCAACGAGGGCAACGCCGCCCCTCGACCGACCCGCGTCTTCAACCCCTACACGGAGTTCAAGGAGTTCTCCCGCAAACAGATCAAGGACATGGAGGCGATGTTCAGGCGGTAAGACTGCGGCTCTTTGTTCGGTTCACTCGGAGCTTCGCGGCGGTCTGAGCTGTTTACTCGGGGATTGGGGCTGAGAGAGAGTCGGTGAAGCTCATGATGAGATTAGACTGCTGCTGCTGACGTGAGGCTCGGCTCACTGTCAGCTGTTGAGTCCACCAGAGAGTCCTGATCTGAGTCCTGATCAGACCACTGACCACCCTGAGACACCCAGGCCTCTAGATACTGACAACCACAATCGGCCAAAAGAATCCGGACAGTGCAGTGGTTCACATACATCATGAACATATTCTCTCTGTGGTGGTGGTGATGATGATGATGATGATGGCGGTGGCAGCGGTGGAGGAGAGCGCTGTCTAACATGTCGCTCCTACATCTCCCATAGTTCATCTGGTCTGAGATCAGGTGACTGAAGGTCACAGACTATGATTCACTCATCAGACCCTCAGTGACCCCTGATCCCTCCAATCAGGATAAAGCTGATCACTCAGAACAACTGTATTGATCTGCAGTGACCCCTTCCTCTAAGGGGACAAACCCTGCCCCCCCTACAGCAGAACAGATCCACCAGGTCCCCTCACTGCAGGGGTCCAGGGTTCAGATCTGGACTGTAGACCAGTTCCTCTGGTTTCTGCACCTGGACTCAGATATGGATCCATCTGTGTGATGAGGGTTTATCGCAGCTCTAACATCCCTCTGGATGTGACTGCTGACTCAGTTTCCACCCTCTGTGACTCAAATGTGGTCATGTGACCTCTTACCTGTCACATGACTATTGCTTAGCTGTCGTGGTCCATGTCGGTCCATGTAGACCGCCTCCAGTCAGACCACGACTGACCTAGGCTGTAGTTCAGAGACAGAGTCTACACAGGACTAACCAGACCAGGACCAGGTCTGGACAGGCTGGGTGAATAACAGTTAGTTCAGGATTTAGCAGCTGTGTTGTTGATAGGTTTAAAAGATGTTAGAGTGGATGCAGCCTGAGACTCAGAGTTTGTGTCGTCATGTCTTCAGCTTCAGGTGGAGTGGGCAGAGCCTCGTGACGGAACATGATGTCGTATTTATTTAAGGGGACAGTTCATGAACTGAATGAGGAAGATGGAGTCATGAGAGAATCTAGATAGATATATAGATAGATACTTTATTCATCCCCTAGGGGAAATTCAAGTGTCCAGTAGCTCAATATTAAAGATAAAGTTGAAGTGAAGTAGTGTGATGATCAGGGTCCAGGCAGGTTGAGAACATTGGGACCCACTGGTGCACGGTTTTAAAGGTGCGTGGTTCAAAATATTCAGGAGATCAGTGCCATTTCACACTCCCTTTAACCTCCAGGTGTTCTGGCACCTTGGTGGATTGTCATTATAACAGTGGATTTATCAGGTAGAAAGCAAGAACTGTTCTCTGCAGAGGTACCAGATCCTTCTGCAGCAGGACTCATCAAACAGACCAGGTCCAGACTTTGGCCAGAGGCTGCTGCAGCGTCCTCAGTCTGTCCAACGTTTCTCTGATGTGTATTTGATGTGTTCTCACTGTGATGTCTGTTTGGTGACAAACTGTTTTCTCCCTGTGGAGTCGACACAGTAACATCCACCTTCACAAACAGGCGATGGTGTTCTCCTGCATCTCAGCTCGGCCTGGTCTCTGACCTCCAAACGTCTTTGACATGGACCAGATTGAGATCCTGCTGCACGTCTCAAATCTCTTTGGTCTCGCTTTCATTTGCTGCACTGATCCCATTCACACAGTCCACATTCCCACGGGGTGTCCGCCGCCCGTTGACCCACTTTCCCTCCTCTCAGAGCTCCAGGCTTAAAGGCACAGTTCATGTTTTCAGCAGCACACTGTGATGCAGCAGGAGTCTGAAGAAAGGTGGATGTTCAGTGTTTTTTCTGTATGAGTCCAGAGTCAGGTTCATGTTGACGGGTCTCTGAGGAAGACGAGCATCTTCATGTTGTTTTACATCAGAGAGTGACCTCTGACTCTAACTAACCAGGAGTTCAGACTGATGGAGGGTTAACCTCCCTCCACCCCCCACACCAACACACCTTGACTGAAACAAGATGTGGATTTAAACAGCAGTTTGTCAGGTCCAGTCTCTTACCTCAGGGTTTGGTGTGATGTCATTCGACAGTATTTTGAACCCTCCCACTCCGCCTCTGTACTGGAGCAGGTGACGTGGTTCAGAGTGACTCAGTCTGGATCAGGAGGCTGAGGTGGATCAGTTTTCTGTGTGGAGCTGATGTCAGCGTTTGTTTAATCCATGAGCGGTTCAAAGCCAGCTGTTCTGTGCTGACAGGTAACACCTGTAAGTAGAGCTGCACGATATGCAAAAGAAATCATATTGGGATTATTTTGGCAGATATTGTGATTGCGATTTCAGTTGGAATGGTCGTTTTTGCATTTCATTTTCACTGAAAAAAATTTAAGAATGATGATGATGGGATTTTTGTTGGGTCTTTTGCCAAATAAAAATGTTTACATATTTTGGTACGTCTGGAGAATATTATTTGTAGGCTGGGGCATCTCTGTAGCACCACAATGCAATAATAATTACAGCTCCTGCAATTTGGATATTGCTTTTGGCCATATTGCGATTTTGATTATATTTTGATTAATTGTGTAGCCCTACCTGTCAGGACAGTTGTTACCTGTGGACTGTAGTGACTGTGGTGACTGTGGTGGACTGTAGTGACTGTAGTGCACTGGGGTGACTGGTGGACTGTAGTGACTGTGGTGGACTGTAGTGACTGTAGTGCACTGGGGTGACTGGTGGACTGTAGTGACTGTGGTGGACTGTAGTGACTGTAGTGCACTGGGGTGACTGGTGGACTGTAGTGACTGTGGTGGACTGTAGTGACTGTGGTGACTGTAGTGCACTGTGGTGGACTGTGGTGACTGTAGTGCACTGTAGTGACTGTGGTGACTGTAGTGCACTGTGGTGGACTGTAGTGACTGTAGTGCACTGTGGGGACTGGTGGACTGTAGGGACTGTGGGGGACTGTAGTGACTGTAGTGACTGGTGGCCTTAGTGACTGTGGTGGACTGGAGTGACTGTAGTGACTGGTGGCCTTAGTGACTGTGGTGGACTGGAGTGACTGTAGTGACTGGTGGCCTTAGTGACTGTGGTGGACTGGAGTGACTGTAGTGACTGGTGGCCTTAGTGACTGTGGTGGACTGGAGTGACTGTAGTGACTGGTGGCCTTAGTGACTGTGGTGGACTGGAGTGACTGTAGTGACTGGTGGCCTTAGTGACTGTGGTGGACTGGAGTGACTGTAGTGACTGGTGGCCTTAGTGACTGTGGTGGACTGGAGTGACTGTAGTGACTGGTGGCCTTAGTGACTGTGGTGGACTGGAGTGACTGTAGTGACTGGTGGCCTTAGTGACTGTGGTGGACTGGAGTGACTGTAGTGACTGGTGGCCTTAGTGACTGTGGTGGACTGGAGTGACTGTAGTGACTGGTGGCCTTAGTGACTGTGGTGGACTGGAGTGACTGTAGTGACTGGTGGCCTTAGTGACTGTGGTGGACTGGAGTGACTGTAGTGACTGGTGGCCTTAGTGACTGTGGTGGACTGGAGTGACTGTAGTGACTGGTGGCCTTAGTGACTGTGGTGGACTGGAGTGACTGTAGTGACTGGTGGCCTTAGTGACTGTGGTGGACTGGAGTGACTGTAGTGACTGGTGGCCTTAGTGACTGTGGTGGACTGGAGTGACTGTAGTGACTGGTGGCCTTAGTGACTGTGGTGGACTGGAGTGACTGTAGTGACTGGTGGCCTTAGTGACTGTGGTGGACTGGAGTGACTGTAGTGACTGGTGGCCTTAGTGACTGTGGTGGACTGGAGTGACTGTAGTGACTGGTGGCCTTAGTGACTGTGGTGGACTGGAGTGACTGTAGTGACTGGTGGCCTTAGTGACTGTGGTGGACTGGAGTGACTGTAGTGACTGGTGGCCTTAGTGACTGTGGTGGACTGGAGTGACTGTAGTGACTGGTGGCCTTAGTGACTGTGGTGGACTGGAGTGACTGTAGTGACTGGTGGCCTTAGTGACTGTGGTGGACTGGAGTGACTGTAGTGACTGGTGGCCTTAGTGACTGTGGTGGACTGGAGTGACTGTAGTGACTGGTGGCCTTAGTGACTGTGGTGGACTGGAGTGACTGTAGTGACTGGTGGCCTTAGTGACTGTGGTGGACTGGAGTGACTGTAGTGACTGGTGGCCTTAGTGACTGTGGTGGACTGGAGTGACTGTAGTGACTGGTGGCCTTAGTGACTGTGGTGGACTGGAGTGACTGTAGTGACTGGTGGCCTTAGTGACTGTGGTGGACTGGAGTGACTGTAGTGACTGGTGGCCTTAGTGACTGTGGTGGACTGGAGTGACTGTAGTGACTGGTGGCCTTAGTGACTGTGGTGGACTGGAGTGACTGTAGTGACTGGTGGCCTTAGTGACTGTGGTGGACTGGAGTGACTGTAGTGACTGGTGGCCTTAGTGACTGTGGTGGACTGGAGTGACTGTAGTGACTGGTGGCCTTAGTGACTGTGGTGGACTGGAGTGACTGTAGTGACTGGTGGCCTTAGTGACTGTGGTGGACTGGAGTGACTGTAGTGACTGGTGGCCTTAGTGACTGTGGTGGACTGGAGTGACTGTAGTGACTGGTGGCCTTAGTGACTGTGGTGGACTGGAGTGACTGTAGTGACTGGTGGCCTTAGTGACTGTGGTGGACTGGAGTGACTGTAGTGACTGGTGGCCTTAGTGACTGTGGTGGACTGGAGTGACTGTAGTGACTGGTGGCCTTAGTGACTGTGGTGGACTGGAGTGACTGTAGTGACTGGTGGCCTTAGTGACTGTGGTGGACTGGAGTGACTGTAGTGACTGGTGGCCTTAGTGACTGTGGTGGACTGGAGTGACTGTAGTGACTGGTGGCCTTAGTGACTGTGGTGGACTGGAGTGACTGTAGTGACTGGTGGCCTTAGTGACTGTGGTGGACTGGAGTGACTGTAGTGACTGGTGGCCTTAGTGACTGTGGTGGACTGGAGTGACTGTAGTGACTGGTGGCCTTAGTGACTGTGGTGGACTGGAGTGACTGTAGTGACTGGTGGCCTTAGTGACTGTGGTGGACTGGAGTGACTGTAGTGACTGGTGGCCTTAGTGACTGTGGTGGACTGGAGTGACTGTAGTGACTGGTGGCCTTAGTGACTGTGGTGGACTGGAGTGACTGTAGTGACTGGTGGCCTTAGTGACTGTGGTGGACTGGAGTGACTGTAGTGACTGGTGGCCTTAGTGACTGTGGTGGACTGGAGTGACTGTAGTGACTGGTGGCCTTAGTGACTGTGGTGGACTGGAGTGACTGTAGTGACTGGTGGCCTTAGTGACTGTGGTGGACTGGAGTGACTGTAGTGACTGGTGGCCTTAGTGACTGTGGTGGACTGTCGTGACTGTGGTGGACTGTAGTGACTGTGGTGGACTGTAGTGACTGTGGTGGACTTAATGACTGTGGTGCACTGTGGAGACTGTAGTGACTGTGGTGACTGTGGTGGACTGTAGTGACTGTAGTAACTGTAGTGACTGTGGTGGACTGTAGTGACTGTAGTAACTGTAGTGACTGTGGTGGACTGTAGTGACTGTAGTAACTGTAGTGACTGTGGTGGACTGTAGTGACTGTAGTAACTGTAGTGACTGTGGTGGACTGTAGTGACTGTAGTAACTGTAGTGACTGTGGTGGACTGTAGTGACTGTAGTAACTGTAGTGACTGTGGTGGACTGTAGTGACTGTAGTAACTGTAGTGACTGTGGTGGACTGTAGTGACTGTAGTAACTGTAGTGACTGTGGTGGACTGTAGTGACTGTAGTAACTGTAGTGACTGTGGTGGACTGTAGTGACTGTAGTAACTGTAGTGACTGTGGTGGACTGTAGTGACTGTAGTAACTGTAGTGACTGTGGTGGACTGTAGTGACTGTAGTAACTGTAGTGACTGTGGTGGACTGTAGTGACTGTAGTAACTGTAGTGACTGTGGTGGACTGTAGTGACTGTAGTAACTGTAGTGACTGTGGTGGACTGTAGTGACTGTAGTAACTGTAGTGACTGTGGTGGACTGTAGTGACTGTAGTAACTGTAGTGACTGTGGTGGACTGTAGTGACTGTAGTAACTGTAGTGACTGTGGTGGACTGTAGTGACTGTAGTAACTGTAGTGACTGTGGTGGACTGTAGTGACTGTAGTAACTGTAGTGACTGTGGTGGACTGTAGTGACTGTAGTAACTGTAGTGACTGTGGTGGACTGTAGTGACTGTAGTAACTGTAGTGACTGTGGTGGACTGTAGTGACTGTAGTAACTGTAGTGACTGTGGTGGACTGTAGTGACTGTAGTAACTGTAGTGACTGTGGTGGACTGTAGTGACTGTAGTAACTGTAGTGACTGTGGTGGACTGTAGTGACTGTAGTAACTGTAGTGACTGTGGTGGACTGTAGTGACTGTAGTAACTGTAGTGACTGTGGTGGACTGTAGTGACTGTAGTAACTGTAGTGACTGTGGTGGACTGTAGTGACTGTAGTAACTGTAGTGACTGTGGTGGACTGTAGTGACTGTAGTAACTGTAGTGACTGTGGTGGACTGTAGTGACTGTAGTAACTGTAGTGACTGTGGTGGACTGTAGTGACTGTAGTAACTGTAGTGACTGTGGTGGACTGTAGTGACTGTAGTAACTGTAGTGACTGTGGTGGACTGTAGTGACTGTAGTAACTGTAGTGACTGTGGTGGACTGTAGTGACTGTAGTGACTGTGGTGACTGTACTGGATGTGGTGACTGTGGTGACTGTAGTGACTGTAGTGACTGTAGTGACTGTAGTGACTGTAGTGACTGTGGTGGACTGTAGTGACTGTAGTGACTGTGGTGGACTGTAGTGACTGTAGTGACTGTAGTGACTGTGGTGGACTGTAGTGACTGTAGTGACTGTAGTGACTGTGGTGGACTGTAGTGACTGTGGTGGACTGTAGTGACCGTAGTGACTGTGGTGGACTGTAGTGACTTTGGTGGACTGTAGTGACTGTAGTGACTTTGGTGGACTGTAGTGACTGTGGTGGATTGTAATGGACACCCAGCCTCAGCGTGCCTGTGACATTCCTGTGCTCCCACAACGAGCCAAACCGGACCACAGGGGCCTTTGTATTCCTGGGACTGGAATGCTGGACCAGGAAACCCCCCCTCGTCTGGATGTCTAGTCCAAGTCCATGATGCAAATCAATGGAGACTACTGATTAAAGTTAGTTAGTGAAACCTAAATGTTTGTAGTTAAATCTACAAGCAGTCATTTGATGATCAGTGATGCTGATGACCAGCTGTTGGTGCAGTTGTCACACACTGTGTGTGTGTGTGTGTGTGTGTGTGTGTGTGTGTAAACCTCAATGTTTGCTTTAACATCAGCTGATCTGTTCATTTATTAATATTTGTGTTGTATTATCACGTCATGTGATCATAATGTTCATGTTATCATAAGGTTCATGTGTTCATCACAGACCTTGTGCTGAGTTTCAAACTGCTCTCTGGACCAGAATATTAAACATTTCTAGTCCCTCAGTCAGGTCCTGGGATCTTTAGTCTGGATGTCCCTGATCCAACATACTAGTTCTGATCCACAGACTCAGTACCAGTTGGACCAGCCTAGGTCTGTTCTTCATAACAGCTGTAATACACATCAGGTTTTTAAGGATTCTCCAGACTCTCAGTCCTGGCAGGGTTTCAGTGTGATGATGATGATGATGATGATGATGGTTATCAACCGAGAACACAGGGAGGATCTGAAAACAAACAATGCCTGTGGTTTCTGGCCTGAACAGATTAGTGTTTCCTAGCAGCTTAATACTTCACTATGTATTATACACACACACACACACACACACACACACACACACACACACACACACACACAGAACAGCTGAAAGCTTCTATAAATACTCCTCCTATCAGACGGTGGCGTTGCCGTTGGTGATAACAGCTGTCTGCAGCTGGAATCTCAGTCACGTGTGCCCTGACTGGCTCCGCCCCCTACAGCTGTGACACAGACAGGAGGAGGAGGAGCTAAAGACCTGTTTGTGGTTCACAGGTACGACACTGGGAGAGACGGTTTCATCGATCTGATGGAGCTGAAGCTGATGATGGAGAAGCTGGGAGCTCCTCAGACTCACCTGGGCCTCAAGAACATGATCCGAGAGGTGGACGAAGACTTTGATGGAAAACTGAGCTTCAGAGAGGTGAGACCTACACACACACACACACACACACACACACTTGTACAGAAGGTCATGATGAAGGAGTTTAGTTTAGTCTAGTCCTCCTCTTCTTCCTCCTGAGACGAGAGTAGAGGAGGGAACTCGCTCCATTGTGTGTCTGGATGATGATGATGAAGAGTGATGAAGGGCAGACTGAGGTGACATGAACTCATGAACACATGGACATGTGACTCTCTCCCTGCAGTTCCTGCTGATATTCCGTAGAGCAGCAGCTGGAGAGCTGCAGGAGGAGAGTGGTCTGATGGCTCTGGCCCGACTGTCAGAGATCAATGTCTCCACGGAGGGGGTGATGGGGGCCAAGGACTTCTTTGAAGCCAAGGTATGATCACAGTCTGTGGGGGGGGGTTGTTCTGTAGTCTGGTCATGGTCACTTATTCACCACATCATTCCCACAGACAGGGGGACATTATCCTGAAGAGACCTTTGATGATGTGGATCTTTCCAGGTTCGGGTCCAGAGACCCAGACCCAGGTCCCGATGCTCCTCCACCCTGCTCCTCCTGAGCTTTTTCTGTGATGTGTGATCTCTGTGTTCCCAGGTTCAGGCTCTGTCAGTCGGCAGCAAGTTTGAGGCTGAGATCCGAGAGGAAAAGGAAGAACGAAAGAGACAGGACGTGGAGAAGAAGCAGAGGCAGGCTGCCTTCAAGCAGCTGCAGTCCACCTTCTGCTCCTGACCCTCCACAGTCCAGACCAGAGTCCAGACCTGCAGCATCAGAGTCCCAGGACACTCACACTTTTACCAGTGTCTCTGACACTTTATAACATAGATGACAGCTGAGGAGACTCATTCATCCAGAACCATGATCCAGATCATCACATGTTCTGTGTGTGTGTGTGTGCGTGCGTGCGTGCGTGCGTGTGTGTGTGTCTCCAACATGTCTGAACCTGTTCATGTTGTCAAGTTTGAAGGTCATGTGACAATTTGGTCACATGACCTCGTTTCCTCCTGTTACATCTACAACCTGCAACAGTGTAGTGATAGATCATAGTGTAAATAACTGTAACTACAGTATGATAATAACAATGATAATAATAATAATAATAATAATAATGATAATAATAATAAGTGTTAACTTCACATTTGTTGGTGGCAGATGGAGACTACTGACTGTGACTCTCTGATGATTGACAGTCACCAGCTCAGACTGGGATTGGCTGTAAAGCGTACACCCCCCACCCATCCCACAACCCCACTACAGCTCAACTTTTAAAGGAACAGTTCAACATTTTTGGAAATATGTTTATTACCAGCCATGACAACACGGCTGGTCTCATGTCTGCCTTGAGTTCAGATCTGCACTCAGGATTTAGTTAGCCTAGCTTAGCATTAAAACAGGAAGCAGGGAAACAGCCACCAGCCCCTGTGAAGCGCCCTCTTTGTATCTTGTTTGTGTGCAGATGAAACAGTTAAAACACTTGCACACTGACCTAAAGTCTGATCAACCTCTCTGTCTCTCTGCGCTGTGGATGAATCATTGTTGTATCTGACCCGAACACACAAACCGATGCTTCTACATCTGTGTGTTTAAAGGTGTTTACAGGTGTGAACATGTCACATGCAGCTTTACAGGTGTTTAAACTCTGGAGAGAGGCAGCTAGCTGTGCCTGGCAGTCTGTATGCTAAGCTGGACTAACCATGTCCTGACTGCAGCACGTTTTTTGAAAATGTTTAAGTATTTCTTTAAGATAAACGTGTTTAACCTGACAGTCTGCCATAGTCCGACTCAGTCACAGTCAGACTCACAGCCAGTCTCAGTCAGACTCAGTCTCAGTCAGACTCAGTCACAGTCAGACTCACAGTCTGCCATAGTCAGACTCAGTCACAGTCAGACTCACAGCCAGTCTCAGTCAGACTCAGTCACAGTCAGACTCAGTCTCAGTCAGACTCAGTCACAGTCAGACTCACAGTCTGTCGGACTCAGTCTCAGTCGGACTCAGTCTCAGTAATACTCAGTCACAGTCAGACTCAGTCTCAGTCAGACTCAGTCACAGTCAGACTCAGTCTGTCGGACTCAGTCTCAGTCGGACTCAGTCTCAGTAATACTCAGTCACAGTCAGACTCAGTCAGACTCAGTCTCAGTCAGACTCAGTCACAGTCAGACTCAGTCTGTCGGACTCAGTCTCAGTCGGACTCAGTCTCAGTAATACTCAGTCACAGTCAGACTCAGTCAGACTCAGTCACAGTCAGACTCAGTCACAGTCAGACTCACAGTCACAGTCGGACTCAGTCTCATTTGGACTCAGTCTCAGTCAGACTCAGTCTGTCGGACTCAGTCTCAGTCGGACTCAGTCTCAGTAATACTCAGTCACAGTCAGACTCAGTCTCAGTCAGACTCAGTCTCAGTCAGACTCAGTCATACTCAGTCACAGTCTGTTGTCAGATGTAACTGAACTGTAGAAGGAGCCACAGACAGATCCATGTGATCCTGATTCTGATCCTGATCCTGATCCTGCTTGTGTCAGTGTGTCAGCTGTTCACATACAAATGAACGGAGTCAGTCATATGAAGCTGAGGATATTCATGTGTAACATGATCAAATGAATGAAGAATAATAAAGGCATGATCAGGTCCAGGACCTGGATCAGCTGCTCTAGGAACTACTTGGTGCCAGACCCCCCCGGTCTGTTTGATGGCCACGTCTGGCCCATGTATCTGAGACACAAGAACATTGACCTGAGCACTGTTATTGTTGAGTGTTCATGTGTCTGCTCCTTTACTTCACCTGTAATAGTGTTTTTAAGTTGTAGCATGTAAAAGAAACTACTGTACGTATCACAGAGTGTCTCTGTTGAGGAAATGGACAATGTATTTTTTCATGAATAAAATAGTCTATATTGTTTTAGCAGAGATTATAAGTTGCCAAATACAAAAAAGGTCAGTGAGATATATTTTTGGGCACTTGTAAAGATATCGTGTTGTTTTACTCCCTGTTGTTATGGAAACGTTTGAACTGATTGAATTAAAGAATGAAATAAAATGACATTCAAAAATACAGAATCCACCTCGTTAATACAGATTATGATTATGAATTCTTAATGAAGGAGCATTAATCACGCTCAACGTTCACTCTCTAACCTGGTCATGTTCTCAGCCTGTCCCAGCATGCATCAGGTCAGAGGTGGTGATGGGTCAGCAGTTCATCAGATGGTGAACCGGTACAGTGACTCACCTGAGCTGCAGGCTGTGAGCCAGGTGTCACAACAAAGGATTGAATAAATGAATTCACAGATCACATTAAAGCTTTGTTTACAGGTCTCATTCAGGTGAATGTCATATCTCAGTACACCTGGAGGGAAAACTCCTCAACTTTGGTACAAATATTCACTTGGACACAAGGATGAACTGATTTGAATTTGGTGGCCAAAGGTCAAAGGTCAAGGTCTGTGACCATCGTGGCCAAGTCTTAATCAGGGGGGTCACTCTCCCAATCCCATTCAATAATTCATTTGTATTTTTTTATGTCCATCTCAATATTCAATTTAATGTGAAATCTGAATTATAACAAATGACAGACAGTATAAGAAAACATTAATGTTACAGCCTCTAGTTTCTCTCAGGTAAACTGATGGTGGTGTCTGACAGTGTGTGTTCTCCTGTTTGAGCTGGTGGCAGTGTGTGTGTGTGTGTGTGTGATAATCCTGATGTGTGTGTGTTTTGGTCACCCTGACAGTAAAAGTGAAAAAGTGAAAAGCATCTTATAAATGATGGTAAATCATAAAATCGGTTGGGCCTATTAACTGATCACTAAAAGGCAATAATCAATAATCATTAATGACACATTTAATGATGACATGCAATGCAGCCCTCCACCAGCAGGGAGCAGCACTGCTGCATCAGCTGGTCACATCTCTGCGGTCACCATGGTAACAGTGAAAGAGTGCTTGTTTAGAAAATATTTATTTCATGTAATGTACACTGTACAAAGGCACTGAAGCAGTGAGACACACTGAGGTCTCATCTTTACAATCACATTAGTGGAACATTTCCTCTGCTACATGATCTGTATTTAAACCATATAGATAACACAGTGATTCTCTTCATGTCAACAGCCTCCAATACAAACACGTTCACTACAACGTCTGTCTGAGCTACAGCTACACTCTTTTATTATTGTACAATTTAAACATCTTACATTAATTTGTGCTTCGCATAATGATTTAGGAAATGATTTTTCAAAATAAAAGCCTTAATCAGCAGTCAGTATCAGTCACTACAGAGCCCTATGTCATTTCATGCAGGTCAGTCTAACGTTAGCTCAGTCGCTCACTTTAAGAAGTGGACGTCTCAGATACTGAAGAACCTTAGCAGCTGACAGTGGCCTTACAACCGTCTGATGTTGGGATGTGATGATGTGTTGATGTGTTGATGGTGTGTTGATGTGATGAAGTGTTGATGTGATGTGATGTGATGTGATGTGTTGATGTGACGATGTGTTAATGTGATGTGTTGATGTGATGTGTTGATGTGATGATGTGATGATGTGTTGTGTTGATGTGATGTGTTGATGTGATGATGTGATGTGATGATGTGATGATGTGATGTGATGATGTGATGTGATGATGTGATGATGTGATGTGATGTGATGATGTGATGTGATGATGTGATGTGATGATGTGATGATGTGATGATGTGATGTGATGATGTGATGTGATGATGTGTTGATGTGATGATGTGATGATGTGATGTGATGTGATGATGTGATGATGTGATGATGTGATGTGATGATGTGATGATGTGATGATGTGATGTGATGTGATGATGTGATGATGTGATGTGATGATGTGATGTGATGATGTGATGTGATGATGTGATGTGATGATGTGATGTGATGTGATGATGTGATGATGTGATGATGTGATGTGATGATGTGATGTGATGATGTGATGTGATGATGTGATGTAATGTGATGTGATGATGTGATGATGTGATGATGTGATGTGATATGATGATGTGTTGATGTGATGTTGTGTTGATGTGTTGATGTTGTGATGTCTGCACGTCAGATCTTAAGATGGTTAAAGTCGAGGGAGGTTTTTGTTCCGTCCTGTGCCCCCCCCCCCACCCCACACAGTCCCCCCCCATCAACCCCCTCTGTGTAACATATTTAAACATGTTTCTGATGATTGTTAGCTGAAAGGTTCATATAAACACAGGGGCTTTAAGATGAAGTTCACTTTTGGCGTACAGACGCTTGGAGGCAGGGAAAAAAGCTGACAGACCAGATCTCAAATATTATCATCTACTAATCAAGTCAGATCAACATGATGATGCATGTGGAGTTAGTGTTCTCTCTCTTTTAGCTCTGTTTGGTCTCCACCAGCTCCTGAGGAAACATCTGATGCTCCACTGTGTTCACCAGCTGCTCTCTGAATGAGTCTGACTGAGCCTGACGAGCAGGTGGAGGAAACAGCTGTTTGCTGCTGGAAACGAGGTTGATGAGAGAGAGAGTTGCTGTAAATCAATGAGCTAAAGACAATAAGAGTGTAGTACTGGTGATGATCCTCTGTGGGTCTGTCTCTACAAACTCCTGCTTTCATGTTAGAAAGTCATTTGATTCAGTATTAATGAAAACATGTCGATTACTGGAACTGAATTTGAAATTGATTGTAAACTGAACTAAACATTTTCAGCTCGAACTCTGTCCAGCCCAACACTTACACAAAAGGTAAGAATAAAGAAATACACATTTATTTTGATCAAACTGAACGGAAACTGTTTCATTACAACTTGGATTTTATTTTTGCAGCTCAGGTTGTCGGTTCCATCAGGTCTTACAGTTACAGACTGCCGGGGCGTTCAACAGACAGCTACAGAGGTGCAGCAGATCAAGGGTGAGTCTGTAAACTGTCAAGATGTTTACAACAGACTCTAACTTCACTGTTGAAATGAGTTTGTCTAACCTGGAGGGTTGTTTCCTGTCTGATGGTCTGGACGTATTCAGCCATGTTTGAGGTCTGTGATGTGATGAGTTGGTTCTAGCGACAGAACTGAATGACAAAAATAAAACCCATTTTGTAAGAGTATTTGTTCACACTCAGTTCCCAGAAGAAGCAGTGCCCCCCACTGGCCAAACATGTCAATCAAAACTACTGGCAGTACTGATGAGTGGGAAGCCAGTGAAGGATTATTACCTGGATGTTGCGTTAGAGCCTCAAAGGGAGGGAGTCTGCAGCAGCACCCATATCTGATATACATTTAAATTTCAAATGTTTAAACTTCAGATTCACGAATTTAAATCAAGTAGCTCCTGACAGAAATATCTGCTGCACTGTTACCCTCCAGTTTCCCCCACAAACCCCCACCTGTCCCTCTGACACCTCCCCTTCAGCATCCTCACTCCATCCGGTCGCTGCCGTCTCCATTGATCTGCACCACACAGTCCTTGTTCAAAGGCTCCTTGGAGTGGGCGGTGTCAAAGTGCTGCGTGCTCACCATGTACCTCCCCCGAGCATCCAGCCCCAGCGCTGGCACAAAGCGACGGTCAAACTGGATTTCTTGGCGCAGGTAGGAGGTCCTCTTCTGACAGGAGTCCCCAGTTCCCTCTTGCAGGGCCGACAAGAAGACCACCAACTCAAAGTGGTTGGACATGCCCTCGCACAGGGCAGGGTAAAGGGGGCTCCGGCGATCCAAGGGGTGGTAAAAGGTGAGTGGGAAGATGAAGAAGGGACAGGGCTGTTGGCCCAGACTGTCCAAGTGGAAGTCCAGGGAGGTCTGGTGGAGGGCCTGACCCTCGTGCTCCTCATAGAGCACTGCACTCACCTTCACGTCCACCAGAGGGCGCTGCAGCAGGTTGGTGGCTCGGAGCATAAGGCATGTCTGGCCTTGGTGTTGGCCCACCACCGCCTGGGGGCTGAACTGGATGGCTCCTGCTCGCTTCTGGGGACGAGCAATCTTGGCTACGAAAGCACCTGATAAAGAGACAGTAAGACGACAGTGTCATGTGATGACCTGATGTTTTCACCTTGTTACTGTAAAATGTCTTAAACGCAGCGAAAGAAATGAGGACCTGAAAACCACTCTAGCAGGTCAGCTCCGACTCTAACAGGTCTATTCAGACAGAGAGAGTTCAACGTCTTTGGCTTTTGGAAAGAGGACCGTCTCAATTATCAATTAAAACAGTCTGAACCTGACCAGGTGTAAAAATGAGTAGAGACTTTCCTGACATTTGGTCCTTGTGCAGGATCACGTCCTTTGTGCTGACAGCTGACACCAGGTGAAATTGGAGTCCAGTCTAAATCTGAACCGAGTCCTAAACAACAGCTCAGCACAGCTGGAGCAGCTGGAACCTTTTCATTCATCACTTTGGTCCAAACCAGCTTCTATTTGTTTACACTGGTAACAATTTGGGCTTTATTGACTTGCTCAAGGGCGCTTTGACACATGGTCTGGAGGAGTCAGGGATCCAGCCCTGAAACACTAGTTGAGAAGAAGTTCTCAGTTATCAGCACAGTTGTTACAGTAGTGAGGCTCCTGGCTCATCACAGAGGTCTGACTGGTTGATGTGATCCTCTGTGTGAAGGCAGGAGGTGGACTCTCAGTGTAAAGCTGCAGTACCACAGTCGACCAGCAGATGTCACGTTGTGTCTGCAGCAGAGCCTCAGAGACAAAGAGCTGGTTTCAGACTCTGATCATAGTGACTCAGGGCTTCATAAAACGGTTTCCCACATCACTGTTTAACAGGTTTAGAGCTGAACATTAAGGCTACAAACAACCTATAATGCAACACTGTTACAGGCTCCACCCTCTGAGACTGGGGTCAGGTCGTAGGTCAGGTCTTAAGTCTTCAGGTTCTTGTACCTAAGAGGGAAAACTGTACTTCTCCCTGTACTACATATTTAACAGCTGTAGATACTTAAGTCTAATTGTTGTAGAATAACCACGGACACAATACTTTAGATTTTAGCTCCACCTCAACAGCAACAACATCAACACACTTCTTACATGTTAACGCATCAATAATAATAAACCAATAATAATAATAAATAATAATAATGAATGAGGAAACAGACTTTAACACAAACTCAAACTCCTGCTGGCGTCAACATGTAAAAGTCTAGCCCTTCACCTTCTGACTTACAGATCTCATTAAATTCACCTTGAATACAACATGATACCCAAGAGAAAAATCTCAGCTGCACACATTTGTCCCAGAGCACCGTGTAAACAGATCATTTGTCCTGAGGCTGAAAAAACAAAGTTCGATTTTTCTAAATTCTTCACATCCCTTGTGAAAACACACCTTTGCTCATGTGGATGAATTGTTTTGGAGCTTGAAATGGGTTCACCAAAGTCTAAGGTTCACAAAAGTAGTGAAATATGTGAATAAATTAGCAGATAAACTTATAATAAATTACGTGTTTGTCAAGCCTCCTAACTCTGGCTTTGAGTCACATACAATCTCCAGAGAATAAATACTCAGAAGTGTAGTCTACAAACTCCAACAATATTTGAATCATATTTCTAAAGTTTATTCTCGCAAATATGTTGATACAAACATCGAGAAAACACCAAAAAAAAAACGTATAGCCGCATTCGTCGACCTCAGAGGTCATTTAAAACCACATATTTCGCAAAAATAACACGTTGATCAGCTTCAGTTTATTGTGTCTATAAAAACTGAACTGACAGGTGATGATATGTGGAGACGAGGCTTCAGCCCCAGCAGAGGTGTACCTGTGATGAACGCCTCCAGCATCAGCCCCAGCAGCATCTGCACAGCCAGCAGAGCTATGGCACTGGGACAGTCCCCGCTGGGGAACATGGTGCCATAGCCGATGGTCAGTTGGGTCTCCAGGGAGAAGGAAAAGGCGGCAGTGAAGCTGGTGATGTGTTTCACACAAACGACATGCCCCTGGGGAGGGGCGTCGTGATCCTGTACCGCCAGATCTCCGTTGAGGTGGGCCAGCAGGTACCAGAGACAGGCAAACAGCAGCCAGTGGGCCAGGAAGGAGGCACAGAAGGCCAGCAGGACCCACCTCCAGCGCAGACCCACCAACAGTCCCCAGAGGTCCTGCAGGGCCAGCAGCCAGGCCCTGCCGGACGCCCCACGCCACGAGCCTGAGGGACACAGGGGGGGGCGGAGGGCACAGTGTCCGTCTTTGGTGACCAGGCGCTGGCGTGGCGGAGAGGACAGGAGAGGAGAGGAGGAAGCCTTCCCACCCAGGACACTGCTGGTGGATTTGGTTGTCATGGTTGCAGGTTGAGTCAAGTTGAGGATGATCCTGAAATGACAGGATGAAAGTTCATCTCCATGATAAGTTCCTATCAATATCAGTCCTGATATAGGTCTGATGGGGACCTCTTTGATTTACATGTTGTCAGCTGGTCACATGGCCACGTCACATGACCTGATGTTATCACCTGCTAAGACTACACTGTAGGTACAAGGTGTGCATGAGCCTCCTGAGCTGATTTTGACTGACCCATCGTCGAACACGAGATTGACTGTGATGATACGACAGTTGCGATAGTTCAGACGTTCATGTTTCCCTGAGGATGAATCGTAATAACACTGATCCTCTGACTTTACATCTAGCGCCATCGTCAGGTTAAAGGTTTAATTTGTCCAATAATTGGGTTTCCAATCTGATACCTGCTTCTGCTGATGATGATGATCTGGAGTTTGAGTGTACTGCTAATTAGCAAATGTTTGCATGCTATCGACAGAACAGATCTGCTGATCCCCTTCTTCCTGCTCGCCCTCTGTGACTGGAAACAGGAAAACATGGCTCATAATTTGAGTGATCAGAAGGAAAAGAGTTTTTAGAGACTGCAGAGATTTGTTTTCCAAATTGGTCACTAATGTTGAATTGAGTCATGGATGTTGAATTCATTCACCGATGTTGAAGTCAGAGTCAATGATGTTGAATTCATTCACCGATGTTGAAGTCAGAGTCACAGATGTTGAATTCAGAGTCACTGATGTTGAATTCAGTCACTGATGTTGAATTCAGAGTCACTGATGTTGAAGTCAGAGTCACTGATGTTGAATTCAGTCACTGATGTTGAATTTAGTCACTGATGTTGAAGTCAGAGTCACTGATGTTGAATTCAGTCACTGATGTTGAATTCAGAGTCACTGATGTTGAAGTCAGAGTCACTGATGTTGAATTCAGAGTCACTGATGTTGAATTCAGTCACTGATGTTGAATTCAGAGTCACTGATGTTGAAGTCAGAGTCACTGATGTTGAATTCAGTCACTGATGTTGAATTTAGTCACTGATGTTGAATTCAGAGTCACTGATGTTGAATTTAGTCACTGATGTTGAATTTAGTCACTGATGTTGAAGTCAGTCACTAATGTTGAATTCAGTCACTGATGTTGAATTTAGTCACTGATGTTGAATTCAGAGTCACTGATGTTGAAGTCAGAGTCACTGATGTTGAATTCAGTCACTGATGTTGAAGTCAGAGTCACTAATGTTGAATTCAGTCACTGATGTTGAAGTCAGAGTCACTGATGTTGAATTCAGTCACTGATGTTGAATTCAATCATTGATGTTGAATTCATAGTCACTGACCTTGAAGTCAGTTACTGATGTTGTTTTCAGAGTCACAGATGTTGAATTCAGAGTCACTGATGTTGATTTCAGTCATGCATGTTGAAGTCAGAGTCACTGATGTTGAATTCAGAGTCACTGATGTTGGAGTCAGTCATGGATGTTGAAGTCAGAGTCACTGATGTTGAATTCAGAGTCACGGATGTTGAATTCAGAGTCACTGATGTTGAATTCAGGGTCACGGATGTTGAATTCTGTCTTCCTCTTCTCTGATGTCGGAGTCAGGTTCTGAGACCTTATGATGTCAGAGATGATGAGTCGACCACAGAGGAACAAACTTCAGATTTCATGACTTTTACACTTATTTTGTATTTAATGTGTGGAGGCAACAGTTCCGGGGCTAAACACGGATGAAATTGATATTCTAGGTAAACCTGTACAAACTGTGGGACTGTTCCTCTGAGTGGCGGTTAATCACATGTATGTGGTTCTAACAGGACGTGTGTATGGAGCCTCAGAGCAGCAGATGTATGTGGCAGCGTCCTGACAGCTACAGTCCTGTCCTCTCCTTCTATTTCTATGTCAATATTGTTGCCAGGAGATTAGAGCAGGTCGCAGCTGGGAATCAGTCTGAGGAACACAGCGACACGCAGAGTAGGAATGTGTCTTTCATCTGTGGGGGGGTTCAAACTTACTGCACTGCATGGCTCTGCACTCTGCTGCACCAATTACAATATACATTCACCAGCAGTTTACACAGTGTTCACCACACACTCACAAATTTAAAGGTTTAAAATACAACAAGAGATTTAAGGTTCAAACACAAGTGTCCACTATGAGAGTACACACCTACAGTACACACTAACTCCACACTAACTACATACTGACAGTACACACTAACTACACACTGTGAGCAGAGTGTAGTGTGTAGCTGAATGTTTTGTTGGTTTAGGTAAGAGGTTTGTCTCTGTGCTGAGGGCTGGGGGTGGGTTGGGGGTTGGGGGGGGACTGATACCAGTCAGCAGTCGTCACATGAGAGCCATGTGCTGGCTGAGGCTCCATTGTTCTGGATCCCAGTCTGTCAGAGCTGTCACTGGATCAGTCGGTCATTACAGACCAGAGTCTCAGTCCCAGCTCTGGAGTTAGGATGCTGTTAGCTTAGCTTAGCATAAGGACTGGAGGCAGGGGGAACAGATAGCCTGTCTGAGGTCTGGATTTAGGATGCTGTTAGCTTAGCTTAGCACAAGGAATGGAGGCAGGTGGAACAGCTAGCCTGGCTCAGGTGTGGAGTCATGATGGTGTTAGCTTAGCTTAGCATAAAGACTGGAGGCAGGGGGAACAGCTAGCCTGGCTCAGGTGTAAACCTGCTAACATCTCATGAACATTTCCTGTGTTTGATGTGGATATAAACAGAAATGTGACAGTGCCAGTCGGAGGGTTCAGGTCTGATTGACTCTCCTGCTCAGTAGCTACAGGTTTACAGGTTTGATCTGGTCTCTGGTTCCAAACATGGAAACCTTACTGAGACAACAGGAGCTCTTCAGGTGTTAGTTGGACAGAGCCAGGCTAGCTGTTTCCCCCTGGTTTCAGTGTTTATGCTAAGCTAAGCTAGTCCTGTCTTGACTGACAGACATGAACAAATACTGTCCCTTTAAATCCTGCAGTCAGTGGTTTTAACAGTGTCTGCTCCACAGTGAAAATGAATGTTAATGTTTGAAAATCAAATGAAGTGTTGGAATGTGACACAAAGAAACAGAGCACAGGAAGCGTGTTCATTGGTCGACCTCAGGAACAAAGGTAGACATGAAAACATCTGTACAGTTCACACTGTTAGAAACATCTGGAGACATGAATAACTCTTCAGATTCTCATGTTTAAAGCTCCTGTTGAGGAGCAGTCAGCTGATAATGAACATTTCTCTACATATTAACACCTGAGCTGACAGGTGGAGTTCCTGCTACACTGATGAAGATGGTGATGAGGATTAGAGCTCCTGCTTTCTTCAGGATGTATTACAAAAGTGACAGGAACAAACTCAGAGATGTGTGGTTGGATTCAAGCTAAAATATACTGGTAAGAGAAGAAGACATCAAGTCACTGTTGAACATCTTTCTAATGTATTTATATTATAATTATAATCATATACCTAATATAAACTGACAAATGTGACTATGCTGATTTGTTCACAAGAACTGAAACCACTGTCAGAGCAGAGGCTCCTCACCTGGAGACAGGTGAGCCTGCAGAGACTGAGGAGCTGGTTTCACCTTTAAGCAAAGAGCCTTTTCTTCCTCTTTTTATATCAACACAAAAGAAGAGTTCATATAAACACATCTGCTGAGGTAACATCTGTCTCAGTTCAGTGATTCAACTTTGCAAATGAAATGAGTTTCTTCATAAAGTTGATGAGTGAAATGTTCCTTTACTTCCACATGTTTATTCTGATGTTGACACGTCCTCACGTTTACTAGAGTACAATCTGAATCTGAGTTCAGCTTTCTCTGTTATTCCATTATAATAATTAGCTTGTATGTAATGATGTTAGTCAATCTCATGTATGTCAACGGACAAAGACACTTTGTGTAGCTGCTGTGAGGAGCGTGCAGCCCCCGAGGCTGCAGGAATATTTAGACTGACTGACCCTCAGACTGACGGCTACGCCTGACGCTGCCTGGTCGGCCATTTTCCCGTCTCTGAGATCTGTGCTAACATTCGGTCACAGAGCGGCAGAGCAGAGACGAGTCTTTAAGGCCGACTCGGAGGGGTGCAGAGCGGTTTATGTAATGTCCAGTCTGCAGCTGGTCAACTCTTCTGTTCACTAATCTGAAATCATGAGAAATCAGGAGTTGACTTTCAGACGTCCTTGTGACGTCACTTCACCTCTGACTCCAGACATGTTTAAAAACAGGTAGAAAAGTTAAAGTGTTTAAAGTTGACAGGGCTGCTGTCATCTAATGAAGCCTATCTGTCTGTTTGAAGGAGTCAACATGAAGCTTCCTCACAGATCCAGCTCACTCTCTGTCCAGGTATCAGATTCAGCTCTACCAGCATCAGTCTGTACTCACCTGGAGCTGCAGTCAGGGCTGAACAGGGCCCTCTGACCTTTCCACCTGAGAGCTGGTCTGAGGTCTGCCGAGCAGGCAGATGGACGGAGAGACACTAGTTCCTTTGAGGACAGCTGTAAAATCCCAGAGAGTCCTGAGCAGAGTTTTCTGGTGTAGGAGCCAGACTGAGCGCGGCGCTCTCTGCTCCTCCGATCTGCAGCTTCCAGCTCCGGGGCGAGGATGATTCAATTGGTCACATTACTCTGCATGGAGCCTATTAGTGTTCCCGGAAGACAGAAGACAGAGGGAGGGGGAAAGAACAACACCTTGTCACAGTTCATTCAAAGAGCTGCTTGTTGCTGGTTGGTGTCCCGCAGCTGCTGCTGTCAGACACTGGACACACTGATGAGGTGGAGCATCTGTGTGAGGAGTGTGTACAGACGTGCATCATCTTCTTTAGTCATGTGCGTTCTGAACTTACCTGTCACATCAAATCAGAGACATCTGAGACTCTAATGGAGGGAAATGAAACTGTTAAAGTTCAGCCTGGTGTCTGTGGTTTTAATTTTCCCTCCATCTTTGTTCATTAACTGACTGTTGCTCCATCAGTTTGATCTTTACAACAGTTCAACTGTTCACCAGTAGTCACAGAACAGAGGGGCCACATTACAGGAGGTCAAAGGTCATCAGTGCTGGACATGGTCTGTTGAGGATATTCACAGCTCTCATAATTCTCTTTGTTCCTGTAGTATAGTCTGGTTCCTCTCAGTGATAATAACAGTTTTTATTCTTTATCCTGAACTCATTGACTGTATGAACTTTTCTTCTTTGTGGTCTCCGTCATGTTCCTGTGTTCATGTCTGCACACCGACACATTCAGGTTGTCTCTGAGTCAAAGCTCCTCTTCTTCCACATGTTGGCTGTGAAGCCCAAGGTGCTTCACAGCCAACATGTGTGTTCAGGTTAGGACACACCCCCTGCTCTCTGTGACTCACCTACGTCTAAATCCAGATCCAGATGATAACAGGTCATCTCTCCATCCACAGTCATCATCAGACAGGTTTTAATGACCTCTGCTCTAGTGCCACCCTCAGGACAAACTGTAGAACATCATCAGTATAAAGACCACAGCGACCACAGGCATCAGTCCTTGTTCTTCGTGATGACGTCAGTCAGTCCGACACAGTGGATCACTGCTATGTGGGATGTGTGTGAGTGACCCCCCCAGAGGTTCTGGAGCTGCTTCGTTCTCTCTCATTAGTCTGAAGACTGAGAGGTCACTCACCTACTGCTGGGAAACAACTCTCTCTCTCTCTCTCTGTCTCTCTCTCTCTCTCTCTGTCTCTCTCTCTCTCTCTCTCTCTCTCTCTCTCTCTCTCTCTCTCTCTCTCTCTCTCTCTCTCTCTCTCTCTCTCTCTCTCTCTCTCTCTCTCTCTCTCTCTCTGTCTCTGTCTCTCTCTCTCTCTGTCTCTCTCTGTCTCTCTGTCTCTCTCTCTCTGTCTCTCTCTCTCTCTCTGTCTCTCTCTCTCTCTCTCTCTCTCTCTCTCTCTCT